AGACGGTCCTGCCTACGGGCAAGAGGCACCTAAGACCATTTCTCTCCGCCTCGCGCCCTGTGCTGAGGGCTGGCAGCACCAGGCGGTCCCAGCCCCCCCCCCCCCGGGCTGGCAGCACCAGGCGGTCCCAGCCCCCCCCCCCCCCCGGGCTGGCAGCACCAGGCGGTCCCAGCCCCCCCCCCCCCCGGGCTGGCAGCACCAGGCGGTCCCAGCCCCCCCCCCCCCGGGCTGGCAGCACCAGGCGGTCCCAGCCCCCCCCCCCCCTGCACTGGCTTCTGCCTGTGGCTTCACGGTAACCTGAACCCTCTGGCCACCCCTACGACACCTGCCACCTGAGAGGGGGCACCTGTTTGCTATCTTCCCTTTTCTTTGAACAGAGCATTTGGGGGGCCTGCTCTGTGCCAGGAGGTGACAACACCCCCCCTGCGCTGTCCACACGAAAGCCCCCTCCCACGTGTGACTACTAAAATTTAAATTCGTTGAAGAGGAACAAAATTAAAGATCCAGTAGCTGCGTCACAGTAGCCGATTTCCAGGCACAGGTGGCTGGGGCGGCCACACCGGACAGCACCCAGCCCCGCGGGAGACGGAGCGGCGAGTCCCACCCCCGAGCACGGGGACCGGGCGCTGCAGAGGAAGCTCACACGCAAGCAGGGGCCCCGGAAGGGGCCCGCAGACCGGCTGGGGCTTCCACAGCAGAGGGGAGTGTGCGCATGGAGGGAGTGAGGCGGAGTCACAGTGCCTGGCTCTCCTGGGGAGTCTGAGCTGGCCGGGCCGCGACACCAGTGCAGCTCCTGGGGCACCCTGCGTGGCCCTGTAACCCGCACGCCACCACCCTCCACTTGCGACCCGCTCATAGCCAGAGGGTCCTAGGAGAGAGGACAGAAAGCATCCACCTACCCCGGGGTGGGGCTCCGAGGACAAGCTCTGGGACTGAGGGTGGCAGGCCATTATCATCAGCTTCATTGGAAGGACCTCACACACCCTAGGGGGCTTCTCATCAACAAGCAGGCAAGACAGCTGGGGGCGGGGCGTGCAAGCTGTGCAGGGGTCGACTGGCTGTTTTTTCTTTATCCTCACCCGAGGACATTTTTTGTTCAGGTAGAATGGGAGGGAGAGAGAGGAAGAGAAAGAGAGAGAAACATCGATGTGAAAGGGACACATCGAGTGGCTGCCACCCACATGACTGACCAGGGCCGGGGACAAACTGCAACCGAGGTACATGCCCTTAGCGGGAACCGAACCCGGCTCTCTCGGGACCGCAGGCTGACAATGTAACCGCTGAGCTAAACCGGCCAGGGCGACTGGCTGTTTTTGAACCAGTTTCTCCGTAAGGGCCACGTAATGACAGTGTACTATCTTAGAAAATTGAGGAAAGAAAAAAACTACTCAGTCACATCATCCTAACCTCTCGGCATGTCTCCCTGTCACCCTGTGCTGTTTACGTCTGTAACCCTCGCACACCGCCGCCGACCTCCGACGGCGCAGACCTGGAATCTGCGTCAGGGCCGCAGTCCTGCCGGGCGGCCCCTGGACGGCCGCACCTCGCTCCAGGCCTCTTCACGGATTTCAGCCAGAATGCGCCCAGACCGCGCTGCTCGGTCTCTGACGCGTGTGATCCCCGCGTGGCAGCTCCGAGCCTTTGGGGGTCACAGGCCCTTTGGGACTCGGATGATGTGCCCTCCTGAAAAAAATGCGCGCCCGTGAGCACCCACACCACAGGTGGCATGAGATTCAGGGGCACACGGGCCCCGTTAAAACCTTGACAAGAGAGATGGGCCGTGACTGACTTGCGCCCTCCACGGCCGGACATGTAGAGACCACCATGAGGAACATCCTCGTGCAAGCTCGACTTCTGTCACTCGGGCTACGTCTTAGGGCGCGTTCCAGGCGAGACACTGCTTTGAGGGGGAGGGGTGGCGTGTCAGGCCATACCTGTCACCGTGCACGTCCCACAGCGGGGCTGACGGACATGACACGTGGGGTCCACATGGGGGTGGGGTCCTGTCGTATTACATCCTCACCCAGCGGACCCTTGAGACTGGACCAGGTGCCTTCAGGACGAAGCGAATGACGGGCTGGCCGCCGATCCTGCCTGGTCACGCTCACCTTCACTCCACCCCGAGCCCTGAGGACTGGTCATGGGAGGTGCAGGGGTAGCCGCCGCGGAAGCTAACCCTGCTGGCAGAACTCAGGCCTCAGCGGGCGGAGGGGCCCAGACGGTGAGGCCTGGGCCATCACTGTGCAGGGGGGCTGGGAAGGTCATCAGGCGGCCGCGCTATCGGGAGACCAGGCCCTGCCAGCTATACCCCGCAGGTGGCATAGGAGTGGACAATGCCATCTTTAACCACCAGCCCTCTGTGAACTACCCGGCACACAACAAAATGTTTGGGGGCCTCCCGGACATGGTCAGCCTCTACATGTAGTTCTTTGGTTCTGCCACTAGAGGGATCCCTTGAGCTAGCCTGCCACCTCGCCTCCGGGGACCCATTCCCAGGTACGTTAGGAGACTTCCAGGAGCAGCTGTGGGCGCACGGCCGTCCTCAAGGCCAAGCCCACTGAGGGGTGTCTGGTCCAGCCGGACGCCTGCACTCTGGGAGCTCGGCCCAGAGGTCCTCTCTGTGGAGGAGCCCGGACCATGCCTCGCCCACTTTGATCCACCTCACTGCAGGGTTCTCCCCCCCAGCTACCCACTGGGAAGCCCTGGGGAGCTCAGACTGCCCTTCCCTGGGCCCCGCTCCTAGCAGTCCTATGGTGCCCGGTACAGCTGGGCATTTACTGCGGGATGTCCAGTCCCATCATCATGCGGGCACTGCAGGGGATGAGAGGGAGCAGAAAAGGGTCCCCAGTGCAGTGGGGGACACAAAGATGTGGACTGTGGGGCTCACACTGAAACCACCCGTGAAAAGATGTGGATTCCAGACCTGCCCAGTCCCTTTCGGAATCCACATCTGCATTTTCTGGAAGCTCCTGCAACCTGCCCTGCACGGCTGAGTGGGATCCCACGTGCCGAACGGGCCAGGAGAGCGGCCACACGGAGTTCCTGGTGCCACGCGAGGGAGGGGCCGCGCGTCGAGCCCAGCCTGGACCATGCCCTGGCGCCGAGCGCTGTTGGCTCCGCAGAGCCCCGGGCACACGGGACTCCTCAGGAAACCGCGTGGGGCAGGGTCTGGGAGGCAGAGCCGGCTCCAACGCATCACTGCAGGACGGGCTGGTCACAGGGCGGCCCCGGCACCTGAGCGACGCCACCTGCCAGAGCTCAGGAGCCCACGCGGTACGCAGCGCGGCGCTCAAGTCCAGCTGCTGGTCAGAACCACCTGGGACACTGGCCAGCCATGCAAAGGCAGTCCTGACACACGCTACGATAGGGACGGACCTTGAGGATGTTATGCCGAGTAAAAGCAGCCGGACACACAAGGCCACATTCTGCGTGATCCCACTTTTAATAAAGTGGCCAAACATCCGGGAGGCGGAGAGCAGACCGGAGGTGGCCAAGGGCTGGGGGTGCGGCTGGGGAGTCGCTGCGAATCCGCACAGGGGTCCCTCTTGGGGCGATAAGAAAGTTCCGGAACCAGATAGACATGGTGGTGGCGCCACACTGAATGTGCCGCGTACCACTGAGCTGTACACGTTAACGGCCACTTCGGTAATTTGTGTCCTGCGCGTTTCACAACTGAAAAGGACCAACGACTGCTCTCCCTCCTCTGGCCCACGTCTGTCCGCGGCAGCCGGACCCCCTCGGGAGCTCTCAGACTTGCATGTTGGACATTTGGGCCAGACTGCTGAGCCGTGGGGCGTCCTGGGCACTGTGGGGCGCTGGGCAGCATCCCTGCCCTCCACCTACGAAAAGGCAATAGCACCGCCCCCAGTGGCGACCACAATGTCTCCAGACATTGTTACACGTCCCCTGGGGCAGGATTGGCCCCCGGTGAGGATCCCTTGCCTGGGCACCAGCACTGTCTCGAAGGTCCCCTGGGGGCCCTCAGGGCAGCCAGGCTGGAGAGCCACCAAGAAAGACAGGAAGAATTCTCAGGGTAACCCCATAAAACAAACATTACTACCCCCAACTTACGAACGAGGAAGTGGAGGCTCTTGCCCCGCCCCACACCAGTCAGCTTCCCCAGTTCCCAAATCAGGGTGCTGAGCAGAGCCCAGCAGGCCAGGCCCTGATTCTAGTTCTGCCACTAAGACCTTGGCTACAGGGCCAGCGGTCAGCCGGGCCACCTAGCCAGGGCACAGTAAAGACACCTCTGCCTGGACCCTGGGGTGCAGGATCCCCGCAGGTATGGCTGCGCTGGCAACGTGGCACCACCAGGGGGAGCTCTGCAGCCCGCCGGCTGGACCCGGGCAGGGGCTTGGGCTCCATCCCCACCTGGTCTCCGGCCCAGTGAACCTGACCGGGCACCTGGAGCCCTGGGTCACAGCTCACTGCCTCTCTCACATGAGCGCTCCAGTACTTGAAACAAATGTTTTCCGTCCACCCTTGGGCTTTAATGGACCCCAGTTTATGGAGGGAACACTATCAGAATGAATCCATCTCAAATTCCTTCCCGCTGAGGCTGGCGAAGCGTTCCGCGTCCCTGCACCCCGCTCCTCCGCCGCGCTCACAGGGGCCCGGGGACCTCACGTGCTCCGAGCCTAGTGTGGACCAGCTGGGCTGGAATCCAGCCTGGTGGGCCAGGGGACTGGCTGGGTGACCTCAGGCCAGAGGTGGCCCGCCCTGCGCTGGCCCTGGCCATGCTGGGTTAGCAGAAGGCTGCTGTTCATGAGCCTCGTGCACGACCACCTGTGGGGCCTGCGGACCCCTGAGGACGCTGCGTGGCGGCCATGACAACCACACCCCATGGGGCCTGATGGTGTGGGCACAGTCCCCTCGGCTGGCATAAAGGGGTGGGCCCCGCTGCTGCGGCCTACAGCACAAGCAGGACAGGGCGCAGGTGGTCCTCAGCACTCGGCAAAACCCACGCCTGTCCCCACACAGGCCCAGAACCGGGGACTCACCTGTTCTCGCTCTCCAGGAACACGGAGTTGCTGTTCTCGGCCAGGGCAGCGCTGACGGGCGACAAGCAGAAAGGGGAGGAGAAGGCATCCGAGTCCGAGTCGAAGGAGCTGTCCCTGCTCACGCCGTCGGCCGACAGCTCCAGGGAGCCCTCTTCCTCGCCGGCCTCGGGCCGGGGCTCCCGCCCCTCCTCAGTCCCGTCCTGCGAACTGACCGTTGACAAGATCCCGGAGTCGCTGTGGGCTGGCTGCAGGCCCAGAAGGGGGCCGTCCATCCCCAGGCCAGGGGCCAGCTTCTCCCCATCCTCAGGTGAGGGGCTTACATGCACAGTGTCCCGAAGGCTCTGCGCTACCACCAGGATGTCCTCGTCTCTGGGGATCAGGGTGGGCCTCGGCTCCGTGGGGGAGGCCTGATGGGGGGCACCCAAGCTCTGGACACGCCGGCCCCGCAGACGGGGTGCCTTGCGCACCGGGGAGCTCTCGGGAGTGATGTAACGCAGCGCCTCCTCGTCCTGCCTCTGGATCCGAGAGTTGGGGACCCACGCCAGGATGAGGGTGGCCCCCAGCAGCTCATCCTTCTCTGTGTACAAGCACAGGTACCCTGCAGGGTGGAGGACAGTGGTTAGGGAGGGCGGTGCCCACAGGGCAGGGCCGCTTTCTCAGCGGTGCCCTGGCCAGTAACACCCCGGGCTGTGCAGACCCAGGGAGCTTCAGACACAGCCTGGTCCTCGTGAGACACGCCTGGGAGCGCTGGGCTCCACACAGCAGCTTCAGCCCCTGGTGCACACACAGCAGACCCGGGAGCACGGCCCCAGCCCCTGGTGCACACAGCAGACCCGGGAGCACGGCCCAGCAAAGGCCCCTGGTGCACACACAGCAGACCCGGGAGCACGGCCCCGGCAGCGGCCTGGCGTGTACTCTGCAAGCACAGAGCCCGCCTCGGTTCAGAGCCCGGTCCACTGCCTGGGGTCAGTCAGCGTCCCCACCCAGGCCCGGAGCCCGGCTCGCAGTCACAGCACTGTTAGGAGGGCCGCGGGCCACAGACTATTTCACAAGCGGAATCCAAGCTGGGTGGCCAGCGTGCGGGTCTTTTCCCGTCGGCCGGCCACTGCCCTCTCGGCATTTTTTCTTTAATGCAGCTTTTTGGGAGAAGGGCTCATCTTTCCACGTCACACACTGGATTGCTGACAAGGCGGTTTCTGAGACCCGCAGCAAGGGGGTGGGCTCTCTGGGCTCCTGACTCTCTGTTTGGGGGAACAGCGGCATTTCCCATGGGACCACCTGCCATTTCGGGGTGTCCTGATTCCCAGGCCTACTGCACAGGCCTCCAGCCTCCTGGGCTGGGCTCGGAGACGTTATCTAGGGCCAGAGCTGGCCCTGCCCTCCCCCGGGGCCCGGGGCCTGTGCCAGAAGAGCTCGGGGCTCCCAGCCGGCTGAGCACAAGGGGAACCGCGCGGAGGCCGTGTCTCCCTGCTCATCACTGGAGGAGAGCCTCAGACCAGGCCCCCCCGACTTCCACCCCAGCAGGGCTAAACCACGGAGCTCTGCAAGGGACACGCTGTTCCTTCTGTTTCATACCCAGAACACGTAGCACCCTCAGACCGGGGCCCAGCACCTGCCCACCGCAGCCCCGCCCAGCAGTCGGGTGTGCACAGGGTCAAGGTGAGGGCAAACAGGAGCCCTGAACCTGGGGCTCGGTAATTAGACAGCCCCCCCTGCCGGGAGCCCCAGTCCCCCCTCTGCTGGGCTCACCTGGGTGGTGCTCCCCCAGCCCCTGCAGCCCCTCCGGCGGGTGCACGCAGACATTGTTCTTGGAGTAGATGATCTCCCCATCCAGCACGGAGGGGGGTCCAGCGCCGCCACCCGGGGTGAGGGTCAGGAGGTCCGAGGCTTTGGAGGAGGCCCGGCGAAGGAGGCGGCCCAGAGACATCGCCGGGGGAATGTTCCCATCCTCCGCCCACTTCGGCCCAGTGGGGCTTGTCCACACCTGCCTGGGGAGGGAGACAGAGGAGATGCATGGGGCCCAAGGCAGACGCTGGCTCGCTGCGGAGTGGGTTCCCAGCCGGGCACTGTGGTGCCTGAGCGGGTCATTCTCAGCCGCGGGGCATCCCAGGCCCTGGGGGACAGCAAGCAGCCCCCACCTCCTCACTAGGTGCCACTACCACCCCTCCCCCCAGAAGAACAACCAAAAACGTCTCCAGATGGTGCAAATGTCCCCTGGGGACGAAACAGCTGCCCCTGGCTTAGCCACTTTCTGGACACTTGGGGCGGGGCCTGTCCTCTCTCCCAGATCACATCCGGGTCAAGGGGTGTCTCTCCCGCCTCTGTTTCAGTTTCTATTTTTACTAAAGTGTACTTGGCGCACACGGATCTCTGAGCGTACCGTACAGTGTGATCACACACTCAGGGCAGTGCCCACCGGTCACCCCCAAAGTCATCGCACTGTGGAGACGCTGTCCCTGGGCCGTGCACCAGTCTCCACGCGCAGCGGAGCCCGAGCCACCGCGACAGGTGACGACCACGCTGTGAACCTGGAAGTTATCGTGACCCGCGTGATCTTTCCAGCAGATCGGGAGAAGCTGCGCTGCTCTAATGACGACCCCATGTCTGGAATACTTTTAAACTGCAAGAATTCTTCAAGAATTCCAAGATCAGCTCATGAGCTACGGACCCCCTTTTCTTTTATTAAAAAAAAAAATTGTTTTCCTTTATTGATTTTAGAGGGAGAGAGAGAAACATGGATGAGAAAGAACATGGATTGGTCGCCTCCTGCACGCCCCCCACTGGGGATCAGGCTCACAACCTGGGCATGTGTCCTGACCGGGAATCGAACCGGTGACCTCTTGGTGCAGGGTCGATGCTCAACCACTGAGCCACACCAGCTGGGACCCCGTTTTCTAGGCCAGCGCCGCCCCAGAGAAATACCATGCCGGCCACGCGAACCATTTCAAACACCCCACCAGCCAGTCGGTAAAAAGTACAAAAGAATGAGGGGCGTGAGTCTCGGGGTTACTGACCCCACAGGGCGCCCTTTCGGTCTGTCATCGGTACGAAGCAATGCCTCCTGGGCTACTTCGGACTCTTGTGTGTATTTCGTACATCAGCACGTCTCAGCTCGGAGCAGACACATTCCCCGAGCTCAGTGGCCTCCCGTGGCCTCCCGTGGGTGAGGCTGGGCTGAGCGGCGGCCCTCAGACGGTGTCACTTGGTTACATCTCTCTAAGGCCAGGCTGGGCTGCACACACCCCTCAGCTGGTCCCCAACCCGACGGGGCACCTTCCCATAGAGACGGTGAGCCCCCGCTGAGGATAAGTACAGGAATGTGCTGGGAGGTTTGGGGTGGGGTTCCCAAATACCAGTGTCTGCAACACGGCGTGTCCCTGCCTGCCATCAGCCGTGGCCCGCCCCTCCCCCACCCCAGCTCCCAAACCACGTCCCAGAAGCGCAGTTTTGCAGATCAGGGAACCCAGGGAACAGTGCACCCAAAGTCCCTCGGTGATCGGAAAACCCTGGGGCAGGAGACCCCGCCTCGGAGAGCAGAGTTCCAGCCCCACCCACCCCGCTGGCCTGGGGGGCGCATGCCTCTGGGGGGCAGTCTGTCCCCTGACTGTTGGCCACCAATATTTGCTCTCTTTGGACAACTCTCGCCTGTTTTTTAAATGTGTGTGTGTGTTTGGGGGCCTGTTCCACCCAAACTGAGCCTTGATGGAACCGACAGCTGCACTGTGTGGACCGGTGCCGACCCGCTTGTTGAGCGCTACGTGGCTTCCGTCGCGGCGCCAGCCACTTGTCTGATGGGAAGGGGACCCCGCTTCCAGCCTGACCCAGCTGGAGGCTTGTTACAGAAAACCTGACGGAAATTGAAAAGGGGGCGGCCCCCGGCTGTGACCCGAGACCGTGTGGCCTGGCCTGAGCTCTGGGCTCACACACCTTCTCCCACATCCCACAGGCGACAGACCCTCGCGCTAACCCGGGGCTCCCTATCCACACGCTCCGCGGAGCACGCTGGGGTTTCGGCGAGAAACCTCTGCCCCAGGCCCCACCCCGGGAGGCACCACTGACCCAGGCGAGGGCACCACTGACCCCCTCAGCAGACTGTGGGGACTGTGCCCAGCCAGTGGCTGCCCCCTTTAGGACCCAGCAGTTCGGGGGACCCACCAGCCACAGGCTTATGAGGACCCAAGGGATGAGCCCCGAGAAAGCTCTCCATCGCTGCAGCCGAACCCCTTTCCCTCCCTGCCCTGTCCCATCGCTGCACCCGAACCCCTTTCCCTCCCTGCCGTCCCCATCGCTGCGCCCGAACCCCTTTCCCTCCCTGCCCTGTCCCATCGCTGCACCCGAACCCCTTTCCCTCCCTGCCGTCCCCATCGCTGCGCCCGAACCCCTTTCCCTCCCTGCCCTGTCCCATTGCTGCAGCCGAACCCCTTTCCCTTCCTGCCCTGTCCCATCGCTGCACCCGAACCCTTTTCCCTTCCTGCCCTGTCCCATCGCTGCGCCCAACCCCTTTCCCTCCCTGCCCTGTCCCATCGCTGCAGCTGAACCCCTTTCCCTCCCTGCCCTGTCCCCATCGCTGCGCCCGAACCCCTTTCCCTCCCTGCCCTGTCCCCATCGCTGCGCCCGAACCCCTTTCCCTCCCGGCCCTGTCCCCATCGCTGCGCCCGAACCCCTTTCCCTCCCTGCCCTGTCCCCATCGCTGCGCCTGAACCCCTTTCCCTCCCTGCCCTGTCCCCATCGCTGCGCCCGAACCCCTTCCCCTCCCTGCCCTGTCCCATCGCTGCACCCGAACCCCTTTCCCTCCCTGCCCTGTCCCCATCGCTGCGCCCGAACCCCTTTCCCTCCCTGCCCTGTCCCCATCGCTGCGCCCGAACCCCTTCCCCTCCCTGCCCTGTCCCATCGCTGCACCTGAACCCCTTTCCCTCCCTGCCCTGTCCCCATCGCTGGCTCCTGATCTGCAGGTACAGGGCCTGCGGGCCAAGCTGCTCACAGGCGTGGCCAAGGCCCCTCACGTCCGTGTGGCCCGAGCGACTGCCACCACTCACCCACTTTACCTCGTGGGGCCACAGCCACCAAGCTCCCCCGTGGCCCCACAACCACAGCCTCGTGTCCTGTGATTGTCGACACTGCGGTGGGAAGGGCTGGGGCCGCTCGAGTTGGCATGGCCGTGGGCTGCTCGTGCGTGGCCGCGGGCTCCGTCTGCCTTGGAGCACCCCCTCCGGCTCTCCTCTCCCGCTGCTGGATTAAATCTGAGTTTACCCCGACCCTGCTGTCAGAAGAGAAGGAGGGTGCAGGGAGGGCCAGACCCCTCCCGGGTGAGCACGAGGCCTCCACCCAGGAGGGGGAGCTGGGAGACCCCCAGCTCATGACGTCCCCAGGGGCCACGGCGGCTCTGAGGCCGGGTGGTGGCCCAGCCCTGGGACAGCAATGCTTCTCTATGGAACTCAGAGGACAAACCCCAGACTTCTGACCCAGGCCTGAGAGAGGGCCTCCCGGTGCCTCGAGTCCCAGCTGAGACTGGGAACTTCTCCCGCACCCTCGGAGGAAGGCGGCTGGGTGGGGCCGGGGCGCTGACAGGAAGCCAACCGCCCTCTGCCTCTCGCTGGGCAGCTAGCAGACTCGGCCACGGGGCAACCCTCCCCCGCTGTCCCCAGCTAGCAGACTCGGCCACGGGGCAACCCTCCCCCGCTGTCCCCAGCTAGCAGACTCGGCCACGGGGCAACCCTCCCCCGCTGCCCCCAGCACACGTTAAACAGGATTAAGGGGCAGAGCCCTGTCCCTGCCCAGCAGCCAACCTGTCCCCAGGCTAATACCCTCGGCTGGGCTGCCTGTCACCGGGGCAGCGGGAAGCGAGGGCCAGGGCCCAGGCCGGGGTGCAGGAGCGGCCAGGCTGGCACAGGCCTGTCTGATCAGGGCTGGCTCAAGTGTCCCCGCGGCCCCGTGAACAGGGACTGCAGAAGGGACCCTTTCTCAGACTAGAAGCAAACGCTCAGAGCAGTGTCCAGCCTCCTTAAGATCCGATCCACCCAATCGGAACCACTCTAGGGACTGCCGGTCCCCTCGTGCCACTGTTTAAGTCACCCTCCTGGACTCCTAAGGTCCAGGCCGTCCTGGCCCCTGACCCCCGGCTTCAGATGGTGCCCTGCCCGCTGCCCGCTGCCCGTGGGGACGCTTCGGGGCCCAGGCCTGGCCCCCGCTGGCCGGGAGGAGGGAGGCCCGGAGGCGGGGGAGGGGTGTGGGATGGGGGTTGCAGAAATGAGGACTCGCTCCTGGCACCTTCACCCTCAATCCTGACACCTCACTTCCCCGATCTCACCTTCCCCATCGGCTGCCCACAGCGGCAGAGTACCCCGTCTTTTCCAGCCCCTCCACTGGCACGCCTGCCTCAAGTCTGCCAAGGGAGGGGGAGAAGGGTCCTGGCCCGGAGACCCCAGGCCCTCGTCGCCGGCCCCGCCACCTGCTGGCCTGAGGCTCCACCAGGCACCCTCTGCACACCCGCCTCTTCCCTGCTCCAGGCGAGAACACTCAGCGGCTAAATCCCCCGGGAACCTCCGAGATCACCCACTGGGGGTGTGGCGGGGCTGGGCATAGACGCAGCGGGCACTTCACAGCCTTCAGTACAGTCATGGGGTCCACACAGGGCACTTTACCCCCCCACAGGCGCCCCGAACCTCCGCACCCAGGAGGGGGAGCTGGGAAGCTCCTGGGAGCCCTGCCCCGGGGACCGTGTGGGACAGCATGCAGGCCGCGCCTGAAGGTGTCGGGGAGGGAGCGCAGGTCTAGGAAGAGGGTGGTGTCATGCCCAGTACTGATGCCTGGGGGGGCACAGAGCAGGAGGGGCACGTAGGGGGAGCAGAGCTCATCAAGGGCCTGCGCCTCCCTGAGTGAGTCCGGGGAGCGGGCTGGTGAGGGGGTGAAAGGCTGGCGGGGCGAGGGGTGCTGGGGGGCGAGGGGTGCTGGGGGGCGAGGGGTGCTGGCGGCACAGAGCGGGCACCTCCCGGTCGGGGTGGTGCGGACGTAGCATGTACTTCACCACGTAAACAATGACAGCGGCACCTGGAGGGTGAGTGGACACTGTGCTTTCTGCTCATTTTTTCATAAACTGAACGCTGCTCTAAAACAATAAAATCTGCCCACGTACCAAGAGGTCGCCGGTTCGATTCCCGGTCAGGGACATGCCCAGGTCTCGGGCCCGACCTCAGTGCGGGGCATGCGGGAGGCGGCCAGTCGATGTTCTCTCTCATCGATGTTTCTATCTCTCTCCCTCTCCCTTCCTCTCTCTCTAAAATCAATAAAGAAAGAAAGAAAGAATAAATAAATAAAAGACACACGACCTTGAGTGGTTCTCACTCACCAGGGGCAGAGCAGTTTACGACTTTCGGGATCTGAGGTTCTACGGGGCAGTGGGAGCAAAAACAACCGCCTGCCTAGCAGACCCGAAAGCTGTGCCCCAGGCACAGAACCCAGGGTGCCCGCAGCACCGGCCCCTCCCCGGCAGGGGGCCTCCCCGCCCCCCCCCCCACCGCAGCCTGTTCTCCTCACTCTAGGCACAGGTGGGGGAGGGGCACCTCTTGCACAACCTTCGAGTGTCCTCAGCAGAGATCCTAAGACACAGAATCCGCTGATGCTCAAAGGGACAGAGAAGTGGCGGCTGGGAAGCGCTGATGCCCGCGTCTCTGTAAGACTTAGAATTTGCTGAAGTTGAACAGCAGCCGAGATGCTCGGAGCACTTTGTGCCAATAGAACGAACCCTCCCCCCAGCCCTGACGGAGCGGAGGCTCCAGGCAGATCCCTGACAACGATAAAGAACTCATTCTCACCCTGGCCAGTGTGGCTCAGGGGTTAGAGCGTCAGCCCGAGGACCAGAGTGACAGGTTCAATTCCTGGTCAAAGGCACATACCTGGGTTGCAGGTTCGATCCCCGGCCCCAGTCGGGGCGCGTGCAGGAGGTAACCATCTCTCCCTCCCTCCCACTCTATCTAAAAAAAAAAAAATCAGCCCGGCCGGTGTGCTCAGTGGTTGAGCGCTGACCCATGTACCAAGAGGCCACCCATTCCGTTCCCGGTCAGGGCACATGCCCAGGTTTCGGGCCCGATCCCCAGTGGGGGGCGTGCACGAGGCGGCCAGTCGATGTTCTCTCTCATTGATGTCTCTCTCTCTCCCTCTCCCTTCCTCTCTCTCTAGAAATCAATAAAGAAAAATATTTTTTTTTAAAATCAATGGAAAAAATATCCTCAGGTGAGGATTAAAACAATAATAAAAAAGACTTGTTCCCCCCGAATGTGTCCCTTCGTGTCTTTACTTTAAATGGCTGCGGCCGTCTGGCATTATTCACTTTGGATTATAAGCTCCTCAGTCCGAGACTCGCTGACGGTCTGTCACGATGCCCCGCCCGATGCCAGCTGCAGGCAGGCCCTCGTGTTTGCCGCGGGAAGGACACCACAGCCGGCGGCTGCAGCACAGAGCAGGTGGCGGCGCGCTGAGCAGACGGACGAGCAGCCCTGACTCCGGGGTGTGACGGACAACGCCGGTCCGGACCCCTCGACGGCAGAGGGATCCACGCTGACTGTCGTGCTCCGAGCCGCAGGAACCCCAGGCAGGGCCAGGTGTTTGCACGACACACACTTGTGTGATTCACACGGGGGGGGGGGGCAGCGGGCTTGCTCTCGGAAGAAACGCGCAGGCTCATGAAACAAACGCTGCAGGAATCACAACCAGGGGACACTCTCCCGTTAGGCGACACCTCTCTAGGAGGAGCGCCGTGGACAACGCGTTCTCGGCCGCGTGTGGCCGGTCAGCGCGGTGGAGGCAGCGTGGCTGGTGGCAGAGGAGCGGGGCTGGAGGTGGCTGGAGCCGGGCAGCTGCCGGGAGAGGACGGAGCGCAGGAGCCACAGCGGTCCCCTGTGGGAGGGGGCGGGCGGGGCGGGCGGGGGCAGATTTCTCAGTCGAAGCCCTGCCCGGGCCTGCGTGACCCACACGCGTCCCCTCCACGGTACAGGCCACGGGCCACTGGCACTTGGCCCACAGGCAGCCAAGGCTTTTGTGACTCAGCGGTGAAGCTCCGACATCTACACCCAGAGTTTGTTCCCGATTTTCGGTGATTTGTACCCGAGGAAAGAGAGGCAAAGTCACCGAAAAGCCAGCGATGACCGAAACACGGATTACGAAACCCGCTCTCTCCGAGCAGTTCCCTTCCGAGCGTGATGGGTCCCTGTGGCCCCGGCACCCGCCCCACCTCCCACCGGGAGGCCAGGAGTCTGACCCGGCCTCGCCCACGGAAGCCGGGTGCTCATCGCGGGCTCCGGGGCGGGGGGGGGGGGGGGGGCTCCGGGGCGTGTTCTCCTGCCCTCAGCTGCCAGGCCCTCAGCCCCCACCCAGGCCCGAATGCCTCCTCCCCGGCGCTGGGCGACAGCTCCGTCTTTCTCACGTGGCGGCACGCCGACTCTCCGCCCCTCACCCGCTCAAGGACCCCGTGGGGACACTGGGCCCCCGGGGACCCCAGGACCCTCTCCCAGTTCAAGGTCAGTTGATTAACAACCTCAGTCCCATTGCAGCCTTAACCCCTTTGCGGTGTAACCTAACATGTTCCCGGGTCCCCGGGTTAGGGTGTGGATGACTTTGGGGCCATTTTCCTGCAGCCCACACACCAAGGGCACCGTGAGGAACCGACTGTGACCTGGGGAGGTTTTCCCTGCTCCCCCACGGCCAGCAGAGCCCACTCCCTGAGCACTGCACGCGGGCCCAGCCTGGTCCACCGCCGCGGGAGCAGCTGGCTGGGACCGAGAAAGCTACACACCCGCAGACCAGCGTCTGTCCTCAGCCCGAAGCCTAGGTTTCCTGTCCTGGGAGGACGAGCCTCATACATCCCCAAACAGGAGCTAAGGGGCAAACGTCTCTTCCAGAACCTTCCTGGGAAGACCAAAGACATGACCACCCAGAGCCGCTGGGAGCCCGGGCTTCTCCCAGTCACTGCGCCGTGCCGTGCCCTGCCCTGCCTCGGGGCACCTTAGGTCAGGGACGCAGCGGCCAGCAGGACAGACATGGTCCCAGCACCTCACAGAGCCAGCTGTCCCCACACACCGTACCCATCGGGACAGCTGCCTGCTGTAGAGGGCGAGGCAGGGTGCAGGACACTTTGGGGAACACTTAAGGGGACAGAGCCCACAGGTGATTACCCCCTGGCCTGGCCACTGCCAGACTGCTCCCTGAGCACCGGGCACGTGGCCGGCAGAAACCGGTTCATCTGCTTTACCCTCCAAGGCCAATCAACACAGAGCGGGACACGGTGATGCCGCATCAAACAGTGACAGACACACAAACAGGACCTTTCCCTCCGCTAAACACCTGCTGCCAGCACACCCCGGGGAGGCCCCAGCGCCCTCCCTTCCGGACCAGGCACACGGGCTGGGCCCTGTGGTCTCCGCGGGCCCTGTGGTCTCCGTGGGTCCTGTGGTCTCAGGCTGGGCCCCTATGGTCTCCATGAGCCCCTGTGGTTCCAGCCGGGCCCTGTGGTCTCTGTGGGGCCCTGTGGTCTCCGGCCGGGCCCTGTGGTCTCCGTGGGGCCTGTGGTCTCCGGCTAGGCCCTGTGGTTTCCGCGGGCCCTATGGTCTCCGGCTGGGCCCCTATGGTCTCCATGAGCCCCTGTGGTCTCCGGCCGGGCCCTGTGGTCTCCGGCCGGGCCCTGTGGTCTCCGTGGGCACTGTGGTCTCCGGCCGGGCCCTACGTTCTCCGCGGGCCCTGTGGTCTCCGGCCGGGCCCTGTGGTCTCCGGCCAGGCCCTGTGGTCTCCGGCCGGGCCCTGTGGTCTCCGTGGGCCCTGTGGTCTCCAGCCAGGCCCTGTGGTCTCTGCGGGCCCTGTGGTCTCCGGCCAGGCCCTGTGGTCTCTGGGACGCCCCATTTCATGTTCAAATGGTGGATGATGTAAGTCCTGCAGCAGCCAGGGTCAGGAGCCCGGGTTTGGAGAAGCGGGTCTCCTCCACACCCGTGAGGGAGACAACCCTTCCTCTCAGGTGTATTTGACTTCAAGTCAGACAACTGCAGACAACCACACCTGCGGCAGGATCCACACGGAAAGACAGGCAGCTGTGGGCAGGCCTCCGTGGGACGCGAGGGCAGGGCAACTCGCATTTAAGACAAAGGGACAAGTTTAGGGCAGAAAACCGAGTGCCAGAGCCTTGGACCAACTGCCATCAGCGAAGGACCTTTGAGGGGCGGGAACTGGGCCCGCAGCTAAAGCCAGGAGGGCGAGGGGAGACCGGGGACCTGACACAGGGGTCACTTCGATTGGAATAGAATTTCCCCCCAAAGAGCCAAGACAGAACCAACCTTAAGGAGCCAGGACTGACCAGATAGCAGCTACCGGACAATTCATCAAAGCAGATTTATCCGAGATGCACGACCAAGTGACCCACGACGCACGGGTGGCCAAGAGCATAAAAAACCACCACTGAAGTGAACGGGGAAAGATTTCCTACACCATTTCCCCGAATTTAGGGCTGGGGGGGCAGACTTGTGCTTTCTTTCTGTGCACTTGGCTCATCAAGGTTCAACAGACTCCATACACAGTAAGTCTCACTAAACATCACAGCTCAAAGTGACCTGTCACGAAACTCATTTACCAGAGGCTAATTGATGTAAACAAGAGTTAAGTTCCAACAGTATCTAATCCATGTTCCAGTGAAACGATGTTGGATGAGACAATGTTACCTCTGAGAACAATGTACATCAAGAAAGCCACCTCTGCCCTATAGCTGTTTCACCATCAAGCCTCATCCTCCAACACTACAGGAAACTAAGTAGCCAATCTTACAAAAGGGAATTCAGGCTGGTGAAAAAATCCAGGTCTCTCAGCTGGGTGGGGGGAGACACCCTGAAATCTCTACTCAAGATGTGTGTTGCCAGGCAACCAGGTTGCCCCGATCCCTGGAACAGCCGGCAGGGACCCAGGCCCCGGCCCCTCTGCAAAGTTACAAAGATGAGTATAAATATACCTATCCAGCAAATTCCATTTCTGCTTATGACCAGTTTTCCACCTGATGGACCACACATACAAAGAATCAAAAACCAAAACCAAAATGTTTCTACCCATCTAGTTACAGTTGAAAACCCTAACAATGATCATCAATAACAACAATGATAAATAGTAACAAGCCCTTAGCACCTGCCAGGTACCAGATGCTTTCAGCAGTTCTCAACCTGTGGGTCGCGACCCCTTTGGGGTCGAACGACCCTTTCACAGGGGTCGCCTAAGACATAACAGTAGCAAAATTACAGTTATGAAGTAGCAACAAAAATAATTTTATGGTTGGGGGTCCCCACATGAGGAACCGTATTAAAGGGTCGCGGCATCGGGAAGGTTGAGAACCACTTTAGGTGAGCCTTGCCAAGGGCCTTCGAGGCCGGCGGCATTATCTCCATTGTACAGCTAAGAAACTAAGGCCCAGAGGAAGGAAGTCAGCACTATGCAGCAGGGTGGGTATCTGAACCCAGCAGTCCGCTTTGGAGGCCGTGCTTGGAACCTCTGCACCAGCACCCAGAGCCCAGGCAGAGAGGACAGCACAGCTGGAGGCAGGTGGTGCCAACCCCATCGCTGTCTTCTCAAATGCTTAGCCACCACCGGTGACATGGGATCACCTGGCAGAGTGAAACACACTGTCATCTGCGCGAAGGGGACAGGGAGAGTCTACTGTGAATGACGGCGGCCAGTTACCAGAGGGGAGACAGTGCGGCACCGTGGTTCTTTGGAGCCGGAGCGTCCTGCACTCAGGCCCCGAACCCTGTCACTCCCAGCTGCAAGAACTTGAAGAAGTTTTTCCCTAAGCCTCAGCTTCCCAGTCTGTGGAGTGGGGATAATCTCCGTCCTGACTTTCCAGGGTTGTTTTGTGGGTCCAGTGAATTCATGCATAGATATCAGCATCTATTTACACAACAACCTCATCACTGGAGCGTTTAAAAATTCCAGCGACGAGCCCTGGCCAGTTTGGCTCAGCGGTTGGAGCGTCCGCCTGCAGTCCAGAGAGACCCGGGTTCGGTTCCCGCTAAGGGCATGTGCCTCGGTTGCAGTTTGTCCCCGGCCCTGGTTGGTCGTGCGGGTGGCAGCCACTCCGTGTGTCCCTTTCACATCAATGTTTCCTTCTCTCTCTCTTCCTCTCTCTCCCTCCCACTCTGTCTGTACAAAAAATGGAAGAATGTCCTCAAATGAGGATAAAAAAAAAAAAAAAATTCCAGCGACGAGAACGTTCTTTAGCCGTAGCCTGAGGCCCTGCTCACCATAAGCGCCCAGAAACCACCAGGTGCTGGAGAAGTGACCACACTGCACACGCGGTACAGGAACTTCGGCTGCTACGAAAAGGCCTATCCTCGCGGCAATAACCCTTCCTCTGCAGAAGCGTTCATGGTTCAGTATTCACCGAGCAATTCAATGTGAATGTTACTAATGAGGAATTTCTAAAACTAACAGATTTTTAAAAACTTCTCTACGCAGTGGATGGCAACCTGGAAGGGAATTCTCAAATCGGGCCTTTGGTCCAGCCCTCTGGTAAGCTGCGTGGGAACCATTCGCCTCTTCTCTCCACAGAAAAGATGGGGTGTCCTCAGGGGTAGAGATGCAGAGGATCAGTCCCAGGGGCGGCCACCCAGCTCCCGCTCCGCCTCTTGCAAACTTGGGGGAGGCAGCAAAACAAACTCCCCAGGAAAGAGAGCAGCCCTGCCCCTTTCTGTTTCTGAACAGAATCTGAACCAGACTTGGCCAACATGGGACGCCAAGGGGGGAGTCACAGGATTTCAATATTCAGGCTCTGGCAAGGTTCCGTGGTTATATTTAGCAATCTTAAATTGCCTATGTTTCTTTCTCCTTTTTTCTTTCTTGCTTTCTTTTTTGCAAAGTAGAGAACAAGGGGAAGAGCCCGGGCCTAAGGAAGTGAGTTTCCTGACAGGCGGTTCCTGGCCAGACCACAGGCCGGGAATGCGAAGGGGCGCGCGGTGGGGTGGACAGCACACTTCGGGGGCTGCGTCTGCGAACAGCAGCCCCTACAACTTCCCGTTCGCGTGCCTGGGCCAGCCAGCCAGACAAAGACCGCAAGTTCTCCGGTCCACGGCTCCAGACAGACGGGGACGGAGTCGCCCCAAATTAGGCCCACTCCCTGCCCCGGGCGCCCCGCCTCCGCAGAGGGGATCCCCAGGATGCTCCCCGGGTGGTCCGGAGTGCCAGCGCCGCCCGGCCCCTGCTCGGGCCCCGCACCTCTCCAGGCTGCGACCAGACCCTGGCCCCTCCCGGGCCCCGCGGCTGCAGGCCCACGCGCCCCACGCGCCCCCCCTGTCCCTGCCGAGGGGGCGCCACCCGGTCCCCAGAAGACCCTTCAAACCCCGCCCCCGTGGCCCTAGGCCAGGCCCCAATACCCACCCGGGTCCCACAACGGGAGCCGGATTCGCGCCGGCTCCGAGAGCCGCCGCCGCCGCCGCCGCCGCCGCCGCCGCCGCCGCTACCGCCGCCGCTATCGCCGCCAGTGAGGCGCGGCGGGGCGGAGACGCGCGGCGAGGCCCAGCCCTCGGCCCGCCCCGGGCCAACCCGGTCCCCGCCCTCGGCCCAACCCGGCCCCCAGCCCGCCCCAGTCCCGCCCCCGACCCCGGTCAGACCCGGCGCGACCCCGCCACTTCTCTCTTCTCCTTCCGCCCTCTGGCCCTAGGTCTGCGGTCCAGGTCACCCCAATTACGGGTCTCACCCCCCCGGGACCCCGGCCCCGGGCTCTGCTCCAAACGCGAGCCCCGCGCCCTCCACCCCGGGACAGTCCACGTGCGCGCTGTCGCTCGCCATCGGCCCTCCGAATTCGTGTTGTTCCTATTGGGGTACCAAGGGGACGGCAGCAGGCCACTGGCACCTCCTCCGCCGAGGACGCTTCGCAGGAACCCGCGGAGGGGGCCCCGAGCCCCCAGGTCTGGAGACGGGTGGGCGGGCACCAGGCTGGGGTCTCCGGTCCCCGCAGGTGCAGCCAGCTCCCGGGCTCCTCGCGCCCCCACCTCCGCCGGCCCCCGCGGGGGCACTTGCAGTCCCCTGGGGCATCGGAGTTGCCCGGCTGGACGTACGTTGACACGACTGTCGCTTTACAGACACCGCCAGGCGAGCCGGAGCTCGGACTGAGGGACAGCGACGGAGAGTCCATACTTATGCGTTAACGTACCGACATTTACAGGGTTTCCCGTGCGCGTCAGTGGCACAATGGCCGCGCGCCCAGGCCGCCCGCCCCGCGCGCGCTCCCCGCCCGCCGGATGTTGACGGCGTCGCCTAGCAACGGGAGATGGCGGAGCCGGGTGGCGGGGCCGGCGGGTAAGCGGGGTCCGGGGACCACGGGTCTCGGAGGGCCCTACAGCTCCCCCGTGGCACCCGGCGGGGCGCTCTTCCCTTTCTGCCCCTCTCCTCCTGCCGCGGCCCCTTCGCTCCCCACTCTCGGGACCGTCCCGCCTCCCGGCCACCCTACCCCCTGGGCACCCGTTCTCCTTCCTCACCGCCCCTTTGTCCGCTCCCGTACCCTGCTTCCCCTGGCTCCAGGTGGTCCACTCCCGCAAACCCGGGATCCACTCGCCCGGCTGAAACCATGACGCCCACTAGGCTTGGCCACCCGGGCTGTGGGACCCACGCAGGTGTCTGGAGGGGGTCCCTGGGGGCTGCCTCAGCGGTGGCCCCGGGAGCGGAGACCCGCCACCTCCAGGAAGGCAACCCCTTCCCCTCTCCGGGCTGGGGTCCTGGTCAGGCAGCCCCTGGGCGAAGACCCTGAGCACAGGCAGGGGAGGGTCTGATGAACATGCCCCCGCCCCGCCCGGCTCTGCTTCGGTTAGAAGCATGGACTCTATTGTAAAGAATTTGCCCTTTACCTGAGACACTTTCCTTCCTTCCTCCCTTCCTCCCTGCCTCCCTGCCTCCTTCCTTCCTTCCTCCCTCCTTCCTTCCTCCTTCCTTTCTTCCTCCCTCCCTCCTTCCTTTCTTCCTCCCTCCCTCCTTCCTTCCTTCCTCCCTCCTTCCTTCCTTCCTCCCTTCCTCCTTCCTTCTTTCCTCCCTCCCTCCTTCCCTTCTTCCTCCCTCCCTCCTTCCTTCCTTCCTTCTTTCCTTCCTCCCTCCCTCCTTCCTTCCTTCCTCCCTCCTTCCTTCCTTCCTCCCTTCCTCCTTCCTTCCTTCTTTCCTCCCTCCCTCCCTCCTTCCCTTCTTCCTCCCTCCCTCCTTCCTTCCTTCCTTCTTTCCTTCCTCCCTCCCTCTTTTCTTTCTTCCTCCCTCCTTCCCTTCTTCCTCCCTCCCTCCTTCCTTCTTTCCTTCCTTCCTTCCTCCCTCCTTCCTTCCTTCCTCCCTCCCTCCTTCCTTCCTTCTTTCCTTCCTTCCTTCCTTCTTTCCTCCCTCCCTCCCTCCTCCCCCTCCCTATCTCCCTTCCTTCCTTCCTTTCTTCTTTCTCCTTCCTTCCTTCCTCCCTCTCTGCCTCCCCTCCTCCCTCCCTTTCTATCTCCCTTCTTCCCTCCCTCCTCCCTCCCTCCCTTTCTATCTCCCTTCTTCCCTCCCTCCTCCCTCCCTCCCTTTCTATCTCCCTTCTTCCCTCCCTCCTCCCTCCCTCCCTTTCTATCTCCCTTCTTCCCTCCCTCCTCCCTCCCTCCCTCTCTATCTCCCTTCTTCCCTCCCTCCTCCCTCCCTCTGCAACCAGGGCTCCCCTGGAAGGAGGCTCAACTTCTGAAGGAGAGGAAGGGCTGAACCCCGACGGCAACAGGGTGAAGTTCCGGGGACGCTGCTCAGGGCTGGTGTGGAGCAGGGGTCACAGTCAGAGAGGGAGGACTTGCTGGGGAACGTGTGCCTCCCCCAAGAACAGACTCCGTTTAGCTTCACGGAACCTGTTTTCTGCACCCCCTGCAAGGTGTTGGTACCAGCAGGAATGCCAGGCACACCCTGCTCTCAGATTGCCCCAAGTTGTTGAGAACTAATTTCCTGCAACAGAGGGAAAAAGTAATCAGAGAGAGAGAGAGAGAGAGAGAGAGCAGAGCCGTTCAAGCAGGGAGTGATCTAGTGATGCTTAGCGGTGCAGTGCGGGTGCGTTTCTCCGGGGGGGGGGGGGGGGCGATGCTTAGCGGTGCGGGTGCGTCTCTCCAGGGGGGTTGATGCTTAGCGGTGCGGGTGCGTTTCTCCAGGGGGGGCGATGCTTAGCGGTGCGGGTGCGTTTCTCCGGGGGGGGGGGCGATGCTTAGCGGTGCGGGTGCGTCTCTCCAGGGGGGTTGATGCTTAGCGGTGCGGGTGCGTTTCTCCAGGGGGGGCGATGCTTAGCGGTGCGGGTGCGTTTCTCCAGGGGGTGGGGGGGCGCGATGCTTAGCGGTGCGGGTGCGTTTCTCCAGGGGGTGGGGGGGCGCGATGCTTAGCGGTGCGGGTGCGTTTCTCCAGGGGGGTTGATGCTTAGCAGTGCGGGTGCGTTTCTCCGGGGGGTGGGGGGGTGCGATGCTTAGCGGTGCGGGTGCGTGTCTCCGGGCGGGCATCACACTTAAGAATAAGGCCTCACCGGGCCCCTGACGCTTTGTTTCCGGTTTTATTTTCCCTGCCACTCGGCCACAGGAATCAACACCAGAGAAGAGCAATGACCAGAAAAACGGAGAAGTTGCTGACACTCCAGGGAGCTCCGAGACGGAGTTCACCACCCTTGGGGAAGTCGAAACCGAAGGGGACATGGAAGATGAGGGGGACTTGGAAATGGAAGGGGAGGCGGAGTTTGAACAGGAGTTGGAGCCCGAGATGGAAACCGTGCTCCCCGAAGGGAAAGTCGGCTCTGCAGACCTGACCTATTCAGACATCAGTCCTGAGGACGAGGAGGCAGAGGGCTCCACACCCCCAGACGACAGCGCGAGGACGGAGGTTGGTCACGAAGGCAGAGGGCCCCTCCGTCCCTCGGAACGCAGAGCCACGGGGGGCCTCTCCCCCGGGTCCTCCCAGCAGGCCGCAGGCTCCTCAGAGCGAGTGGGTCAGGATGCCGCTGGGCACAGGGTGAGCCGCCCTGGGGTCTGCTATCTCCACGCGTGTTACTGCCCGTGTGGTTTGTCCCCCTATGGGAGGAACTTGGGGTACACTTCAAATACCACTCGCAATGCCTACCAGAGGGCCCAGGCTGGGGAGTCCATGGGCAGCATCCAGGTTTCGGGTCTCAGCTCGTCCCGGGAACACCGTGGAGATGGCGGTGCCCTCTGTCGGCACCGTCCGAGACGGTGACCGTTGGTCCTGGGTGGCCACAGAGCACTCCGAATGCGGCCAGGGAGACGGAGGAATTACAGCGATGCCCAACGAGGGCAGCCTCTGGAACCCTCCCCTCGGCCTGTGCAGGCCCCGGCCCGCTCAGGGGGGCTCACCTGTCGGTTGCAGGTTTGAGTGGTTCTGAAAGGGAAGTGAGGGGCGGGGCGGGAAGAACGCGTTCCGTGGCCCCACTGCGCCCAGTGAAGTGGGCAGGAGCGTTAACCCCTCGCGCAGATGAGGGAAGAGGGCGAAGGGGCCCCCTAGTCCAGTGTCACACGGCTGGGACGGCAGACGGTGGCCTTTGCCCCAAAGCTCCCATTCTGAACCACGAAGCCAGGCTGTCTCCCCGCCCCGTGACTCCGAAAAGGGTTAGGCCTTTGGGGAATAACGTGGTCTGACATTTGGTGGCCCTAACTCAGCTTTGTGACTATAAATGGTAAAACACACTTAAGGCCACTTTTCAGAACTTGACGACAACATGGACGGTGTCTTCGCCAGCTACAAGGAGCCGAGTTGAAGTTCGGGTCACCTGTGGAGCTGAAACCCAGTTTCCATCCTTGGGTCTAGTTTCTAGAAAATTCACTGGGAAACAGGTTGCAAATGTGATCAACCAGAACAGCAGAGACGCCCCCTAAAGGGAGCCTGTCTCCTGGCGCTCGGCTGGGCCTTCAGAGGGAACCGTGGGCGCGCAGGCTGCTGTGTCCAGGGGTGTACACGGACGCCTCCCTCACTTCTCATGAAGAAAAGCCCTCTCTGGACCCCCCAGAGGTGGGCACTGGACTCTGAGTGCCTCAGACACCGGGTCTGGAGTCCACTTCCCTGAGGACGCAGTTAGAACGTGCACTGCGGGGGGATCGACAGCCCAGCTTGGACCTGCCCTGCGCCGCTGTCCGGCTGTTCCGGCTGTTCCGACGAGGGCAAGGTCTCCAGCTCCCGGGGGCCGCCTCCCCCACCGGGAAGGGGAACAGCAGTGTCCCCCTCCGGGGCGCTGTTGTCAATAATGGTTGCCACTTTATCCTCAGTCACAATTGTTGTCCACAGAAATATTTGCAAGAGTCTCTTTTAAAAGTAAAATGGGGCCTGGGGGTTTTAGCGAGGGAAAATATTTTCTTATCAAAACGTCCCTCGTGCGAATGGTTTGAAAGAAGAGAAACAGCCGTCCCGGGAGACCCCTGCCAGAGCCGCGTTCCCACAGGCCGTCGAGAGGGTGCCAAAGGCGCGGCTTGCCGTCCTGGGGGATCGGCGTTTGGAGGGGGAACCCCACGCCCCACACGCTGTTCCTTCGCATTCACAGAACCAGACAGGCAGGGACCACTCCCGGCTCCAGTCGGGGTGCGGGGAGGCCGGGGTAGCCGGTCTCCATTCCGACTGTGTGCAAAAGCCGAATAATCTTTACATCCAAACGACTTTCTGTTGCTTTAACGACGGGGTTGCATTCTGAGCACCGGGGTGAACCGAATCCAGTCACCCCGCAGCCCTGCTCCAGCCCCTGTGGACTCAGGGCTCGCTGCTCCTGCTCTAGGAAGGACCCGATGGGGAGCTGCCGCAGGAGGCGTCCCCCCCGGGCCTGCAGCACCGCCGGACGCTGAGCCAGCCGAGCGGACTCACCTTGGGCGAGCTGTCCCTGTCCACGGAGGAGCCAGGTACCGGGCCTCACCTGCGGGATAAGCCATTTCGCAGCCCCCTCTGTGCCAGGGACGCCCCACCCTTACCTCATTTCCCACTGTGAGCCAAAAGATAAAAATATTATTTTTGTTGTTGTTAATCCTCACCCAAGGATCTTTTTCCATTGATTTATTATTAATTCTTTTTCATTGATTTGAGAGAGAGATGAAGGGAGAAGGAGAGAGAGAGAGGAACACCGATGAGAGAGAACATCGATTGGCTGCCTCCTGCACGCCCCCTACTGGGGATTTGGCCCACAACCTGGGCATGTGCCCTGACTGGGAATCGAACCAGCGACCTCTTGGTGCAGGGTCGATGCTCAAACCAGTGAGCCACACCGGCTGGGCAATCCATTGATTTTTTTAGAGTGGAAGGAAAGGAGGGAGAGAGAGAGACACACTGATTTGTTGCCTCCCACACGTTGGGGTCGGGGATTGTACCTGCAACCCAGGTATGTGCCCTTGACTGGGAATTGAACCCAAGACCCTTCAGTCCGAGGGCCAGTGCTCTACCCTCGGAGCCGAACTGGCCAGGGTGATACAAATATGACGAACGGGCAAGGATAACATGTACGGGGCACTGACTGTCTCTTCTCATTTCATCTTCATGGTAACGGATGAGAACTACTCTCCACCTCATGAAGAGCCCGAGCCATTCAATAACGTGTCCCAGCACAGGCGAAGCCAGGCCCCAGCCAGCACCCGGGGACGCCCCAGCCCGCAGCCCCGGCCGGTTCTCAGGGCCACCTGGTCTGACGGGCTCGGCCACAGCCCCCTGGGCGCGCATGTGCTGTTCCAAGGCCTTCCCGCCCACCCCTGTCCTTACTGGGCTCTGTGTCCCGGTGTTGTGTACACAGGAAGGCAGCCCAGGACGCTGATCACAGCCTGTGACACAAATGTCCCAAGTGACACAATGGCACACGTGTCTGGACAAACTCAGAACAGGCTTGCTCCAGTCCAGGCGAGAAGCAAAAGTGGACCCACCGCCTCACTGACACCTCGTTTCTTTTCCATCTTATCCACTGTCTCCCATTTAAAAAAAGAAAAAAAACCAGTCTCGCCCCAGCCGGTGTGGCTCAGTTGGTTGAGTGTCGCTCCATACACCAAGGGGTCACTGGTCCGATTCCCGGTCAGGGCACATGCCCGGGTTACCGGCTCGATCCCCAGTAGGGGGCGTGCAGGAGGCGGCCAACCGTGTTTCCCTCTCACATCGATGTTTCTCTCTTCTCCCTTCCTCTCTCTAAAAATCAATGTTATTCTTGAAAACAAATCAATCTAGCCCATCAGTAAGAAGCCAGCTTTTATCCACTATTAGCGTATGTGACCCTCTCTTTGGAGTGTGTGGGGTGAGGACGAGATTCATGAACAGAGGACGCTGTGAACAGTGGTCCGAACCTCACCTCTCTGGGGGGTTTCTCTCTAATTTCCCTCATGGGGCACGAGGTCGGAACCCAGCCTGACCTTACAACTCTCTCTGTGAGCGCCCCAGGAAGTTCGCTGTCCCCCCAGGCTTCTCCCTGGAGGACTCGGGTGCCCCCGCCAGGGCAGAGTCCCTGCCCTCCTTCCTGGACAGGATCCAGCAGCTGAGCCTCTCCGAGGAGGGGACCGCAGAGCCGGTGGAGTCCGAGGGCAGCGAGGAGGTGGACGAGGCGTCCCAGCTGCTGGTCTTGGACCCGAACCACGTAAGGACAGGTCCCCCAGTTCTGCCCAGAGAAGGATGCCTTAGAGACCTTCCTGCACCTGCCACGCAGGCCTTTCTCGGCCCTCCGCCCCCAGAGCCATCCCCACGCCGGCCCGGGTCGCCGGAGCACTGAACAGTGACGCTGCCTGGGCTTGCCCGCTGCTCTGTAGAGCCGATTCTCCTTTTAGGCCCATGTGCCCCAACAGCCTTTCTCGCCCGGCACTGCTGACCTCGGGACGGGGCCATGCTTGGCGGGGGCGTCTTGGGCGGACAGGGAAGGCGCGTTTTGATTGGATGCATCCACCTGGAAGCCCTGGGCTCCGGCCCTGCAGGAAGGGGAGCAGTTAGTTGCTCTGGGAAAGGTGCTGAGTGCCCCTTTGGTACCAGCATCCCCTGCAGTGAGCCAGGGCCACCACCCCCGCTTGCCCTGTCCTTTTGCCAAAATATGCCCTGAGGTCTTCGGTGCCTAGGACAGGCCTCTAGCACCTTTACCTTGTGGCTTCCAGAGTCGGAATTGGGGCAGAAGGGGTGGGCACCCCGTGTGGAAGTCGTTCTTGCCCCCTTCCCCCAGAACACCTGGGGCTGGGATGGGACAGGAGGCTGACGGGAGCTTTGCCCTTGCTCTAGCCCCTGATGCTAAGGTTCCAGACTGCCCTGAAGAGCTACCTGACCCGGCAGATCGAGAAGCTGGACCTGGAGCTTCGCGGGCTGGTGCGTCCTGCTCCGCCCACAACTGCCGGCTGTGTGCCCCAGTCCCCCGACCCAGTTCCTCCCGGCTGTGTGCCCAGGTCCCCCTGACCCAGTTCCTCCCTGCTGTGTGCCCAGGTCCCCCTGCCCAGTTCCTCCCTGCTGTGTGCCCAGGTCCCCCTACCCAGTTCCTCCCTGCTGTGTGCCCAGGTCCCCCTGCCCAGTTCCTCCCTGCTGTGTGCCCAGGTCCCCCTACCCAGTTCCTCCCTGCTGTGTGCCCAGGTCCCCCTGACCCAGTTCCTCCCGGCTGTGTGCCCAGGTCCCCCTGACCCAGTTCCTCCCGGCTGTGTGCCCAGGTCCCCCTGACCCAGTTCCTCCCTGCTGTGTGCCCAGGTCCCCCTGACCCAGTTCCTCCCTGCTGTGTGCCCAGGTCCCCCTGCCCAGTTCCTCCCGGCTGTGTGCCCAGGTCCCCCTGCCCAGTTCCTCCCGGCTGTGTGCCCAGGTCCCCCTGCCCAGTTCCTCCCTGCTGTGTGCCCAGGTCCCCCTGCCCAGTTCCTCCCGGCTGTGTGCCCAGGTCCCCCTGACCCAGTTCCTCCCTGCTGTGTGCCCAGGTCCCCCTGCCCAGTTCCTCCCGGCTGTGTGCCCAGGTCCCCCTACCCAGTTCCTCCCTGCTGTGTGCCCAGGTCCCCCTGCCCAGTTCCTCCCGGCTGTGTGCCCAGGTCCCCCTGCCCAGTTCCTCCCTGCTGTGTGCCCAGGTCCCCCTACCCAGTTCCTCCCTGCTGTGTGCCCAGGTCCCCCTGCCCAGTTCCTCCCTGCTGTGTGCCCAGGTCCCCCTACCCAGTTCCTCCCTGCTGTGTGCCCAGGTCCCCCTACCCAGTTCCTCCCTGCTGTGTGCCCAGGTCCCCCTGCCCAGTTCCTCCCGGCTGTGTGCCCAGGTCCCCCTGACCCAGTTCCTCCCTGCTGTGTGCCCAGGTCCCCCTACCCAGTTCCTCCCTGCTGTGTGCCCAGGTCCCCCTGCCCAGTTCCTCCCTGCTGTGTGCCCAGGTCCCCCTGCCCAGTTCCTCCCTGCTGTGTGCCCAGGTCCCCCTGCCCAGTTCCTCCCTGCTGTGTGCCCAGGTCCCCCTACCCAGTTCCTCCCTGCTGTGTGCCCAGGTCCCCCTGCCCAGTTCCTCCCGGCTGTGTGCCCAGGTCCCCCTGACCCAGTTCCTCCCTGCTGTGTGCCCAGGTCCCCCTACCCAGTTCCTCCCTGCTGTGTGCCCAGGTCCCCCTGCCCAGTTCCTCCCTGCTGTGTGCCCAGGTCCCCCTGCCCAGTTCCTCCCTGCTGTGTGCCCAGGTCCCCCTGACCCAGTTTCTCCCTGACGCAGGACGTGGCCACCAAGCAAAGCCGAGTCCAGCGGCAGGAGCTGGGGGTGGAGCTCTACAGGGTCCAGCAGCACCTGGCCCACCTGCAGGTGCAGCTGGAGAAGAGCCATGACCGCCACTCCCTCGCGGCATGCGACCGGCAGCGGATGGAGCAGGAGCTGCAGCGCATGCGCGTGCTCTACATCAAGACCAGCGAGGCGACCAACCAGGAGCGCAAAAAGCGTAAGCGACTCCCAGTCCCTCAGGATCCCCGCGTACCATCGCGTCCCCGAGGGAGACCCCACGTGCCATCGCGTCCTGAGAGCGTCTCCGCGCGTTATTGCGTCCCCGACGGCATCCCCGCGTGCCATTTCGTCCCCGGGGGCGGCCCCGCGTGCCATCGCGTCCCCGCGGGAGACCCCATGTGCCATCGCGTCCTGAGAGCGTCTCCGCGCGTTATTGCGTCCCCGACGGCATCCCCGCGTGCCATTTCGTCCCCGGGGGCGGCCCCGCGTGCCATCGCGTCCCCGCGGGAGACCCCACGTGCCTTCGCGTCCCCGAGGGAGACCCCACGTGCCATCGCGTCCTGAGGGCGTCCCCGCGTGCTATCGCGTTCCGGGGGCATCCCCACGTGCTGTTGCGTCCTGAGGGCGTCCCCGCGTGCCATTTCGTCCCCGGGGGCGGCCCCGCGTGCCATCAGAGGGTATCGAGAAACACGCGTCCTGGAGGGGTCCCCAGCCTTATTAGAAAATGTCTGAAAGGCACCTACTTAGCAGGCTGCGCCTGGGCTGGGGGCAGGGCGCAGAGTCACAGGCGAGCAGCCGGGCCGGTCCGGACGGACGGGGAAGAACCCACCGCAGGGCTGAGTGGGTGGGGGCCAGGAGGTGGAGCCAGGTGGAGCCGCAAGGGTGCGGACCGCTGAGGGCGAACGGCCTGCAGGCCCCGCAGCTGGCGGGCGATGGGGAAGCCGGGTGGTTCTGGACCGGATGCGGCAGTGGGGCCGGGACTGGTACCGCTGAAGCCACGCCCTGCACAGAGCGAGGTCAAGTCGCAGCCAACAGTGACTTCCTCCAACCACTGCAGATTATTCTATCTTTGTGCTTTATTGTGTCTCCAACTTCATCAACTCTGTGTGTCTGCTGTGATGGGGAAGTGACCTAACAGAAGGTGGGAGGGGACCGTGTCCGCCCAGGCGGCAGGAAGGAGACGTTCGGGACCCTGAGTGGGGCAGAAGTTTCCCCGCGGAGGCCGTGTCGAGTGGGGGCGTGGCCAGTGCTCACTCCTGAGGCGCCCTCCCCCACTGCTACTGCAGAACCGAAAACTTGCACACTGAAACACTGAAGAGCCGCGCCCTCCAGAGGTGACAGAATTGAGACCAGCCTGAAGGAGGGCACGGCCTCTCCACCATGGCCTCCCCATACGCCCCAGGGAGTGCCCACCAGGGCCCCTCAGCGGAGGCTCAGAGCATGGACAGGCTTCTGGAAAGATCCAAGCATCTTACAGACTTTGTTTCCTTTCCCAAGGTCGCCAGGAAGCAGGAGCAGGTCTGTCCGAGCTCGGGTTCTAGCCGTGGCACCGTGCCTCCCCTCCCAGCCTGCCCACTGGGCGCGCCACTGCCCCGGCCCTGTGCTCACCCGGGGCTTTGCCACTGGACCACGTCCACGGCTGCCTGCCTCACCTGGGAGGGAGGTCAAGCCCACCTGTCACTAGACCCTCACAGGAACACCGGAGGCAGAGGCAGGCTGGCCGGACGGGCACACGCCTCCACGCCAGGGCAGAGCCCACGCACACCGGCTGGCACCCGGGCAGCTCATCCATCAGGTGAGACCGAAGTGCTGGAGAAAAGGGTACTTGGAAGTCAAAAATAATTGTCATCCGAGAAAAAGGTGCTGAGCATTCCAATCAATACTGCTGAAAACTGAACATGGAAACGAAAACGCCGGTTCGAGGGATTCTCCCCAGAATTAAGGGCAAACACCTCAGGTGATGGACGTTTCGAGAAAGACGTGAACCACATGGTCACAGATCTGGGAGCGTGAATGTGCAGCAGGTAGAAATTCCGGGAGATGAGGGCACTGACCGATGCCCTCCGAGGGAAACATTTGCATGAGTTCAAGGATGAGTCCTCAGATGTAAAGACTCTTTGGCGGGCCCTGGCCAGTTTGGCTCAGCGGTTAGAGCGTCGGCCTGCGGTCCAGAGAGACCCGGGTTCGGTTCCCGCTAAGGGCTCGTACTTCGGTTGCAGTTTGTCCCCGGCCCTGGTTGGTCGTGCGGGTGGCAGCCACTCGATGTGTCCCTTCACGTCGATGTTTCTCTCTCTCTCTCTCTCCCACTCTATCTGTACAAAAAAAAATGGAAAAATATCCTCGGGTGAGGATTAAAAAAAAAGACTCTTTGGCGGGCGTGTAAGTGGCAGATACAGTAAGCGCGCCGAGACAGAGCTGGTGACACCCTTAAATTCCAGAGGTGAAGGGAAACGCTGCAGGCAGGACAAAGCTTCCCGTTCCTCGACCCTCCGTGGGTGGGAAGTTTGGGAATTGCTTCCCAGGCCTGTCTTACAAGGCTTTGTACAATCCTCACTGCAAAAGCAGGCCACGCACGGAGCCAGACAACCGGACGGCACCCCACTTAGGCGCCAACGCCCTGAATAAAATGTTAGCGAGTGTCCAACATCTGTTCAGAAACCAAAGACTGAGCTTGGCACTGTCGTAAAGGGAACCTCCTCGGAAGGGCTCGCTTCTGGAATAACTCAGAATTAGGAAACTTAGTGACTAAATTATGTTCATTAATTAAAGGGGAAGGGGGTGTTTTCTGGGTGGATGCCAAGTCGGGTGTTTGATAAAACTCACTGTGCCCCTAAACTGGGATCGAAGGAAAGGACTTGATCAGTATTTATCAGGAGCTGACAACGGAGCTTAACCCCGTCGAGAGCCCTGGAGAAACCTTAAACAGGTGCCAAGTCCAGCGTCTGGGGCATTGCAATGAGGAGATCCCATTCTCTACCAACGACACGATTGCTTATCTGGAAGATTCAAGATTGCTGATTGAAAATAAAAAGCTCACCCGGCCGGTGTGGCTCAGTGGATTGCGTGTTGTCCCAGGGACTGAGAGGTCCTGGTTCGATTCCCGGTCAGGGCATGTGCCCGGGTTGCAGGCTCCATCCCCAGCAGGGGACGTGCAGGAGGCAGCTGATCCATGTTTCTCATCAATATTTCTCCCTCACATCATGTTTCGATCTCTCCCTTCCCCTCTCTCTAAAAATTCAATAAAAAAAATTTTTTTTAAAAAACTACTTTATTAAAATAAATAAAAAGAAAAGCTAACGGAAACAGTAAGAAATGAGTAAAGTAACCAAATAACCAGGTCTGTCGCTTTCTTCCATTCCGTAATGTCCAGTGAGGAATTACAATTCTGTGAGCATCTCGTCCCCAACATCTGTCACAACCACAAGTACTTAGGAGTGACTCTCACCAGAAGCGAGTGGGGCTCTCTGAAAGACACACAGCTCCGCTAAAGAACGTGAAACCAGAAAGGAGCGAGTTACGAGACAGGAGGACACACGGCACACAGCGTCATTCTCTCCAAACTGAAAAGTAGCTCAACGTCTCGGGTGAACTTCAACTGATTTCTTTATTTTTTTATCCTCACCCAAGGACATTTTTGCATTTATCTTCAGATAGAGCCGGAGGGAGAGAGGGAGAAAGAGAGAGAGAGAAACATCGATGTGACAGGGACACATCGACAGGTTGCCACCCACACAACCCTCAACCGGGGCCAGGGACAAACAGCAACCAAGGTACATGCCCTTATCAGGAACCGAACCCAGGACTCTCTGGTCCGTGGACCGACGCTCTAACCGCTGAGCCAAACCAGCCAGGGCTGAACTTAAACTGATTTAACATAGTTATTTATTTACTTATTTTTAAGAAGTAGTCACTCAAAATTCGAGCGCTTTGGAGTGAAAAGTCTCCCAGCCCCCACCGCCTCCACAGGGACACTCTGATTGCTTTTTGTATATTCTTTTAAAGATACATTTGCACATAAAAGCAACGTTACAAGGGCGTGTGTTTATTTTCCCTTTAATTTTCACGCCGGCAGCTGCCTGCTGTACCCGTGCTCTGCGCCTTGCTTTGAATCACGTGTCAGAGTTCACCGGAGATGACCCCACAGCCACACACGGGAGCCCCCCACTCTTCGCAAATTCACTGGAAGTTCACCTGGAAGACTAAATGCACCGGAACATCCAAGAAAATCCGTGAAAAGGAAGGCTAAGGACGGAAAATTGTTCTATCGGGTGTCAGAACACAGTACCTACCTGTCGCAGTGAAATCAGAGTGGGACCAGAAGACGGACAGACAGACAGACAGACAGACAGACCGGAGGTGCGGAGCACAGAGCCCAGGACAGTTACCCAGCTATGTAGCTGTTATAAATTACATAAGCATACACAGGTCCTTTATTTATTTATTTATTTATTTATTTATTTATTTATTTTTTATGTTTTATGTTTTTATTGATTTCTTTTTCAGAGAAAGAGGAAAGGAGAGAGATAGAAACATCGATGTGAGAAACATCTATTGGCTGCCCCCTGTATGCCCCCTATGGGGATGGAGCCCACAACCCAGCATGTGCCCTGATGGGGAATTGAACTGGGACCTCTCAGTCCCTGGGACAGCACTCAATCCAATGAGCCACACTAGCTAGGCCAGGTTGCGTTTTTCTTTTTTTTCCTTTATTGATTTTAGAGAGAGAGGAAGGGAGAGGGAGAGACACAGAAACGTTGATGAAAGAGAATATCAAGTGGACGCCTCCTGCACGCCCCCCCTAAGGGTCTGGCCCACAACCTGGGCATGTGCCCTGACCGGGAATCAAACCAGCGACCTCTTGGTGCAGGGTCAACGCTCAACCACTGAGCCACACCGGCCGGGCAGGTTGCGTTTTTAAAATACTAATAATTTTTATCATTTAGCCACCTGAAAATAAATACTCTGCCCCACTTCACACAGTACAAAAACTGGGTGCTGGTTACGGTGAAGACGCAGGAACATCATGGGAGCATCAGAAGGATGTGTCAGATGACACTTTCTGTAACCTCCAGGTGAGGCCGGCCTTTTTAAGCAGGACACAAAGTACGGAGGCCGGACGGGAGGAACTTCGCAGGTCTGATGTATAAAACTTGCCTGCAGAGTTCAATGACGCGCACAAACTAGGGAAAAAAACACATCTGAGACGTTTGTGACAACATCCACATTTTCTGTTGCCTCATAACAAATCGCCACAAACTTCAGGGCTTAAAACAAGCCCCACTGATACATCCGCCCTCGGTTGTGGGCAGAAGCCTGGCGTGGCCCTCGGGGCCTCTGCTTGGGGCACCACCACGCCTAACCTAAGCATTCTCGGGAAAACCCACCTGCAGACCTGTTCACGTCCTTGTCGGAATTCAGCTCCTTGTGGCTGTAGGACTGAGGTCCCGCTTCCTTACGGGCTGTCAGCAGGGGCCACGTCAGCCCACACTCTTCGACGCGTGTCCCCCTCCACCTTCAAGCCAGCAACGGAAACCCCACCCCTCCGTGCACCCCATTCACCCTGAGACTTGTTCACTTCCTCCTCTGGCACCAGCCAGAGAAAACTCTCTCCTTTTATTATGATTACTATTTCAATCCTCACCCAAGGATATTTTTTTCCATCTATCCTCAGAGTGGGAGGGAGGGAGAGAGAGAGAAACATCGACATGAGAGACACATTGATTGGTTGCCTCCCGCATGACCCGACTTGGGCCAGGGACCAAACCACAATCGAGGTACGTGCCCTTGACTGGAATCAAATCGGCAACTCTTTGGTTCGAAGGCCGACGCGCTAACCACTGAGCAGACTGGCTGGGGCAAAGCTCTTTCCTGTACAGGCTCACCTGCGTAGGTCGGGCCCACCTGATCAGCTCCCTTCCGCCGCACGAGGGAACATAATCACAGAATAACGCGGGAGCCAAAGGTTATGGGAGCCGCTTAAGAATGCTGCCCGCCCTGCCCGCCCCTCCACAAAGCTGTTAGAGGCCAGTCAGCAGAGGACGAATGTCCCAGAAGAAGGGTGGCCGGTGCCATGAGGCGGCAGCCGGACTTACCCCGCGGCCCGGCCCCCGCGCTTCCTCTGCAGTGGCGGCTTTGCAGGCCGAGGTGGAGACGCTGGCCCTGAACCTGTTCTACATGCAGAACGTAGACCAGGACGTGCGGAACGACATCCGCGTGATGAAGCTGGTGGTGAAGAAGTCGGAAGCGGAGCGAGCGCGGGCCGAGCTGGACAAGAAGCAGCAGGTACCCTGCCAGTCCGGGTGCGGGACGCCCCCGAACCCCCGGTGTCCCCGAAGGCGCCCGGCTGTGCCTCTGGCGTGAACGCCGCAGCCCGGAGAGGCTGTGGGCAGCCTCGGGGTCACCCACTCAGCTCCGGGCAGTGCCGAGAGGCCGGCATGTGGTCTCGGTTCCCAGGACCTGCACGTGGACCAGCTGACCACCCAAGCCAACCATCTGGAAGAACAGATCGCCCTGTTTGAGGCCCAGTCCTTCGCCCAGGCCGAGGAGACCCGGGTGCTCAGGAAAGCTGTGAGCGAGGTAAGGGGACCCCATAGCGCTCCGCTGCGGAAACCCCCCTGTGGCGCCCCCCTGTGGCACCCGCTGTGCCCGCATGCCTGTTGAATGAGTGACAGCTGTGGTCCCTGCCAGTGTCTGAGCTTCCGGCTGACCCAGGTGGGGACGCAGCAGGTGCCGACTGACTGGTGGCGGTGTAGTTACCCCTCCCACAGCCCGACAGACGGAGAGGCCTCCCAGGAACTGGGACCCTGTTCTGCCAGCTGGGCAGACCCTCAGGGAGCTCCTGGGACGGCCGGAGCGCCTAGCAGCCCTGCACCCCCGGCAGCGGCGTAAGGGAGGGGACGGGCCCGGAGTGGCACCGGATTCCGTGGCCGACGCTAGAAACCAAAGATGCTGTGACTTTTTATTTAATCTGTGACTCGACATTGGCATTTACCTGTTTAGGGACACAGGAAAGAAATGGCCATTCTTCTGAAGCAGAGGGTTGCTGGGTGAGTGGACAGGCAGGGCCCAGAGAAAGCTGCCTCCAGCCGAGAAACACACTTAATCTCACGTGTTCCGGTCAGAATCTCAGGACAAACAACTGTTAGTCAGCATAGCAGTTCTTCAGTGCATCTGAAGATAATTTGGAGGCCCCACCACGGCTTCTCTGGGAAGGGCAGGTTCATGGAGGGGAACCGACGGTCCCTGTTGGAGCCACACTGAGGGTTTCCTGAGACGTGGGACTTTCTGCGCTAAAACTGGAGCGTCCTGGACAACCGGGCTGGTGGGTCACCCCAGCATCGCCCGAGAAGCTAACGCCATGTGTGCCAAGGTCGGGCCAGACGGGGAGGCCGGGGGAGCCCGGCAGAGCCCGGCAACAAGCAAACGTGTCCACAAAGACGTAGTAGCTTGTAAATTACAGAGAACCAGTGAATGATACACCCAGTGGTGTTGGGACATGTGGTTAATCATTGGGGGGGGGGGGGATTAGACTTTTTCCTCATACCAGACACTAAAATAAATTCCAGATGGGGTCAAGCATTTAAATGGGGAAAATGTATCAGAAGAAAATAAAAAGGAAATTGTGATAAAATCCTGGCCCAGAGAGGCCTTCTAAGCGTAACGTGGAGAGCAGGAGCTCGAAAGGAAAAGATGAGGTTCTGTGGTGAGGGACGCCACCCACAGTGGGCAAAGACCTGACGTGCCAGCCCGGTTGGTGTGGCTCCGTGGACTGAGCATTGTCCGATGGACCGAGAGGTTCGATTCCCGGTCAGGGCACATGCCCGGGGTGAGGATCGATCCCCAGGGGGCATGCAGGAGGCAGCCAGTCAATGTTTCTATCTCCCCTCCTCTCTCTAAAATCAATAAAAACATATTTTTAAAAAAATCTAGCCCTGGCCAGTTTGGCTCAGCGGTTAGAGCGTCGGCCTGCGGTCCAGAGAGACCCGGGTTCGGTTCCCACTAAGGGCACGTCCCTCGGTTGCAGTGTGTCCCCGGCCCTGGTTGGTCATGCGGATGGCAGCCACTCGATGTGTCCCTTCACGTCGATGTTTCTCTCTCTCTCTCCCTTCCTCTGTCTCCCTCCCTCTCTATCTGTACAAAAAATGGAAAAATGTCCTCGGGTGAGGATAAAAAAAAAAAAAAAAATCTAACACACCAGAAAATGCCTGCACAAGGAGCTGGCCCCCTGCCCCGAAGTTGTTCAAGGTCAGCAGTAAATATTTGCTGCCATGGAAACCCACTCACAATATGCTACTTTTTGATACTAAGTTACAGAACACCATGTAGAATATCATCACACACATACACACACACACACACACACACACACACACAGACACGGGAAGCCGGCACCAGCTATTAGAAATGATAAACTCTAAGTGCGGGGTATTATGGGTAATGTGGGGTTTTGGTTTTTTTTGCTGACTTGCATATTCCGATTTGCATACAACGAACACATTTTTTTATTTTTAAAATATGTTTTTATTGATTTTTGTAGAGAGAGAGGAAGGGAGAGAGAGAAACATCGATGTGAGGAAGAAACATCAATCGGCTGCCTCCTGCACGCCCCCTACTGGGGATCGAGCCTGCAACCCAGACATGTGCCCTGACTGGGAATCAAACCGAGACCTCTCAGTCCATGGGATGACACTCAGTCCACTGAGCCACACTGGCCAGGCTGAATACATTTTTTAAAAAATGAGGAGCATGTTTAAAATATTTAAAGGCTGGCCCTGGCGGGTTTGGCTCAGCGGTAGAGCGTCAGCCCGCAGAACAATGAGTCTCAGGTTTGATTCCAGCCGAAGGCACGTACCTCAGTTGTGGTTCGTCCCTGGCCCTGGTCGGGTTTTGCAGGAGGCAACCAGTCGATGTGTCCCTCTCACATTGATGTTTCTCTCTCTCTTCCTTTCTCTCCCTCTCTCTCCCTCCCACTCTATCTGAAGATAAATAGAAAAATAACCTCAGGTGAGCATTAAAAAAAAAAAAGAAAGAAAGAAAATAAAACACGTAAAGGCTGATTTCAGCCGAGGTCTGCATCTCAGCCTGTGCCTGGCGTCGCCCCCGCCCCGTCTGAGGTCCAGCGTGGGGCAGGGGTCCAGGTCCGGCCTCCGCCTTCTTCCCTGGCCCCGAGCCACAGCCCTGAGTAATGGCTCAGATGGGGGTGTTAGGAGTCTGGAGCTGCATTTAATTGTGTGTTTGTCCTCTGGCTGGAGCTGATAAAGAAATCCTCGGGTGAGGATTAAAAAAGCCAGGGGTACCAGGGAAGGAAGACCACGTGGGAATGTTGGGGCTCCCCGACGTTCTTCCTGGGCTTTGAGTGGAAGGAAACGAGACCAGCGTGCCCCCCCCCGCCCCCCGCAGGCTTGCACAGAGATAGACGCCATCCACGTGGAGAAAAAGCGGATCCTGCAGCAGTGGGCCGCCTGCCTGGTGGGCATGAAACATCGGGACGAGGCTCACAGGACCATCCAGCAGGTGGTCAGGTATCGGCCCAGGCTCGGCGCCAGGCGGGGCCGGGTGAGCGGTCACTGAGCAGCTGGCACCGTGACATGTACCGGCTGCAGAGGTGGGGTGGCCCTTGTCCCAGGTGAGCGGCCTCCGGGGACAAAGGAGGTGCCTGCAGCCCCCCTTCCGTCCTGCAAGCTCACTTCTTGTTCCCCAAGATTTCAGCGTTTCTATGTCCTTTCAAACCCCCTGCGGCCCGGGAACAGCCTGGCTCTCACGCCCGGACTTCCTGGAGGATTAGGGGAAGCCGGAGGAAGAGAAAGAGGTGTTCATCTGCGGGAGATAAGGTGTCCCTTTCATTTCAAGTCTCGCCACCTGCGTGTGGAAACTCCATCCTTAATGATTGTTCTGCCCAAATCCATTTAATCTCCCCTCGAGGGGGGAGGAGGAGCCTCTCTGTGTCTCCCTCTGCCCCTTCGAGCCAGGGTGGACGTGTCCTAGCTGGTGTCTGAGACAGGGCCCCAGGCACAGCTCTGCCTGACCTCCCCAAGCCGCGCAGGTGGCAGGGACCCAGAGGGGAGGGCCCAGGGGTGCGTGCTCCCTTGCTTGGTGCCCGCATGGAGCCTGGCGGAGAACAGGTGTCCAAGGAAGACTTGCTGAGGAAGGACAAACCACGGGTTCAATGGCACCTCTGTGGTCTCCCCATCGTCCAACACTGGGTGCCTCCAGGACTTAACCTGGAGCGTCCCCCCACAACCATTCTCCTAACCTAGTCCCCCAGGCTGTTCCTACGGAGAGCACCCACTAGACATGTGTCCCCGGACAAAGGGCCATGGTGAGGAGGCCAGGACTGTTCTAGCAACACATTGTGTCCCATCCTCTTCCCCTGTGGAGGCCCAACCACCATCCCTCCCCCGGGCTCAGCTGGCGGGCACGCGGTGTTGGTCTGGACCCAGCTACCCATGGAGTCTTCCAATGCCTGACAAAGTCCCATCAAAGTGAGTCCCAGCCACAGGTGGACGGTCATGTCCGGAAACGGAAGTCACACATTGAAGGGAAACAGGTCATTTTCACGGGAAACTTCCCCAAACGAGCCAGAAAACAGACTGCTGCGCTAAACTTGGGACGCATACCCTCTGTTACGCTCCCTCAGGGTCGGGCCCCCAAGGGTCCCCCTGGGCCCTGTTCCCCGCTGTCTTCCTTCCCGGTAGCCTGGCCCCTCTTTAGCCTCAGATGGGCCCAGCGCTTGGGACGTCGTCCTGTCCACTGGCTAATTGTCTGTTTCAACAGCTTTCTGTCGGCAGCCACCCATCACGGAAGTGTTCAAAGTGTGTGTGTGGCCCTGGCCGGTTTGCTCAGTGGTTAGAGCGTCGGCCTGCAGACCAGAGAGCCCCGGGTTTGGTTCCCGCTAAGGGCACAAACCTCAGTTGCAGTTCGTCCCCAGCCCCGGGTTGGGGTCGTGTGGGTGGCAATCAGTCGATGTGTCTCTCGCACATCCATGTTTCTCTCTCTCTCTCCCTCCGCGCTGTCTAAAGATAAATGCAAAAATGTCCTCGGGTGAGGATAAAAAAAAAAAAAGTGTGCGTGTGCGTGCGTGCACGTAATAATTTCTATCACGGATGAGTGATCGCATTATAGAACATTTATAAAACGAAGAAAAAGATTTTAAAGTGCTGCTGTCTTTCTCCTTTGATTTTTTTTTTTTTATCCTCACTCGAGGACATTTTTTCATTTTTTGTTCAGATAGAGCGGGAGGGAGAGAGAGGAAGAGAGAGAGAGAGAAACATCGACACGAAAGGGACACATCGAGCGGCTGCCACCCGCACAACCCCAACCAGGGCCGGGGACAAACTGCAACCGAGGCACGCGCCCCTCGTGGGAACCGAACCCGGGTCTCTCCAGACCGTAGGCCAGCGCTCTAAGCGCTGAGCCAAACCGGCCAGGGCTGTCTTTCTCCTTTGGATGGGGACACGCTACCAGCCTCTGGGGCACGCGCAGGCTCAGGGGGGCAGATGGGAAACGCAGCAGGACAGCTCAGGAGGGAAAGGGGCAACGTCTCGCCCCCCAGCAAGTCCAGTTCTGCCCCCTAGGACTCGTGCCTGTGACCTCGACAGTGGTTACTGGTGTTTCCACGGCCGGTCAGCAGGATGGGAAGCAGTAGCCCGAGGGGTGCGGCGAGCCCCTCACGTGCTGGCAGCCTCGGGGTGCAGGTCTCTAAACTGGGACAATGCTCCCCTCCTAGGATGATCGCCACGACTCCAGGGGACAGGCAGCCGGCCGACTCTGCCCGTTAGCTTCCTTCCCTTCCTCCCCACAGTCACAGCCTTAAAAGCGTTTCAGACTTGAACTTGAAATGGGTAGTAGTCCTATCAGGGTGTCAGAGAGCCGTCGAGGCCTGGCTGCTACTGAGAGTCCATCTCCCAGTGCCCGTCTCCAGGGCGGGGACCGGCGCGTCCTGGTGCTGACCGCCTGTCCTGGCTCCCCCCTCGGCAGTGAGCAGCAGCACCGGCTGAGGTCCATCGACGGGCAGGTCGAGGCCTACAGGAAGTCCATCGTGAAGGAGGAAGAAAAGAACGAGAAGCTGGCGAGCGTCCTGAACCGGGCGCAGACCGAGGCCGGCCTGGTGCAGAAGCTGACCGCGCAGTGCCTGGCCCGGCAGGAGGTGCTCCAGGGTCAGTTCAGCAGCTACAAGCTGGTCCTGCAGGACACGGAGGACATGCTGGGCAAGGCCCACACGGTACGGCCTGCCCCCCGGCAGGGCCCCCAGGCCCCTCAGAGGGCCCCCGAGGCCCCCCACGGGCCCACCTGTGACTCCCTTCCCAGGAGTACGCGGCGAGCCTGGGCGAGCTGCAGACGTTGCGCCAGAGCGCCTGGCAGGAGCTGGGCGTGAAGAGGGAGCTGGACGCCTCCATCGTGGAGAAGCTGCAGGAGCACATGACCTCCAACAAGATGACCAAGTACTTCCACCAGCTGGCCCGGAAGCTGCAGAAGGAGAAGACCAACCTGGTGCGTCCGCCCCTCCTCCCAGCCGGCCTGGAGGGAGGACGTCATGGCTGACAGGCCCGCCGGTCCATTCCCTGGGGATTGGGGGCAAGACCACCCGCTGGGAGCACAAGCGAGGGCCCTGAGATGCACTGGAGAAGCTCAGGAGGGTGGTGGGTGTGAAGTGACCCGTCTGGCCCTGCTTCAGCCCCTCCAAGGCAGTGCCCAGGCCCCCAGGCCTACCCTGTCCCCAGCCGCCCATGAAGCGCGCACATGTACTACCATGAGTGCCCAGAAGAGGGCAGGAAAGAGTCTTCTCAGTCTGGGCTGGTGGCAGCCTGGGGGCTGTCTGGGATGAGGGGCGGAGATTGTGGACGGGCCAATCACCTGGAGCTGGGGTCCACAGACAAGGTGGGCACGGGTCAACGGGGGTGTCGAGAGAGTTCATTCAGGGTGGCACTGACGTCCCAGGAGGCCAGGGTGATCTCGACGCGAACAGCCTGGGAATGGAGCAGGTGGGAGGCTGGGGTGTTCTGGCTGGTGACTGGGTGTTGAGCGCCAGGGTAGAGAGGAAAGTGGGGGCCCTGTGAAGACCCCAGGGTGGCCTGGTGATCTCAAAAGATCTTGGCAAAGAAAGGGATGGGCTCACCGGGCAGGAGGGCCCTAGAGTGTTACTGCAGGGCTGGCCGGGCTGGCTTTAAAGTCCAGACATGTTGGGTGCCCCTGGAGGGACCTGTAAAACAGCCAGCAGGGGTCACGGGGAGGCGCCCAGATGGCCGGGAAGAAGAAGGGCCACGAGCAGGCTCTGTGTGGGCAGCAAGGGCCGCGGCGGTCTGGTAGGGTCAGGGCAGAGCCGCCGCCCGGGAAGAGGACCCTTCCCAACGGGAGCTGCCTCCTCGCCTGACTCACAAATACCACTGATACAGTGTCACAGGAGGGAACCCGCGTGCACCCGGCTTCTGGGAGCCACAGAGGCAGCGGGTGGGCTGGTCAGGCCCCGGGACGGCGGCCGGCCCTGCAAGGCCCTCAGCTGCTCTCCGCGGCTGCAGCCCCCGGAGCCCAGGCTGGCGAGAGCCCAGGGCCACGCGCCCCCAGCTGGGTGGTGGACAACACCGCACCGTGGGACCTTTTCCTTGCAGGATCGTGTCCAGCTTTTTAGTAAAATGCAGGGACATTTGTTCCACGGCTACAGATGAGAAGTCGTTGGTAACTGATTGCTGACTCAGAGAGCAGTGACCTGGCTTACTTCGGGCATCGACGAGGCTCTCCATTAATACTGGGGGGCAGGAGAAGGCGTGCCCAGCCACAGCCCCGGCCCAAACCCGAGACCACGTTGCAGATACGAGGGAGCAGTGCAGGGCCATCAAAAATGGGGTGACGAGAATAGAAGACATCAAATGAAGGAGCAGCTTACAAACCTATGTGTAGACTGTGACCCTGCTTTTGTGTTTTGGGGGAGGGATTTATATAGAAAGACTGGAAGCGGGGGACTGGTTTCAGGGATGGTGGTGCCAACCCCGAGGCAGGGTCACAGGCGAGTTCCTGTGTTCACACATTTCTGAGTGCTCCTGTCTGTTTAAGAAGAAACAATGTTACCTTTCTTTGCTGTGAGACATGGCTAGGGTCCTGGAGACGGAGAGCAAACGGGCTTCCTGCTCTCCCCACGAGGTTGTGAAATTTCCTCGGATGGTCTGGGACGCGGTGGGTCAGCCGGCTCCTCCCGAGCCTCCCGGGAAAATCCGTCATGCAGACGTGTTTCCTTGTGCCCCCTCCAGGTGACACACCTTTCCAAGATCGACGGTGACATCGCTCAAGCCACGCTGGACATCACCAACACCAACTGCAGGCTGGAAATGCACCAGAGGACGCTGGCCGAGCTGGACGTGGAGGTGACAAGGGTCAACGACCTCATCAGCAACAGCGAGAGCGAGATCTCCAGGCGCACGATCCTGATCGAGAGGAAGCAGAGCCTCATCAACACGCTCAACAAGGAGCTGGAGCAGATGGTCTTCAAGCTGGGGGTACGGCCCGGGCCGGGGCGCTCTGGCGGTGTGCGCGCCTGGAATGTCTTATGCTTAGACGTGAACCCACGTGGGATACAGCCCCTCCTTCCCCACACATTTCACGGGTACACGGCCTGGGCTCTCAGGGGAGGGCCCGCAAGGACAGGGCCCAGGCCTCTGAGCAAATGCCCCCCAGTCCCGGTGCGGGTGCAGGAAATCAGGGCCCGGCCCTCTGCAGCCCAACCGGAAAGCAGGCCTCTGCCAACCAGGAGGCTCATTTGCCGCCGGGGGAATCTCCTCACAGGGGCAAGAGATGGGGCCCCTGGACCTGGAAATCAAGCGGCTGAGCAAGCTGCTGGACGAGCAGGGTGCGGACGTGACGCAGGCGCAGGTGAGCTGGCTGCGGCTGCAGCAGGACATGGTCAAGGCCTCGCAGGAGCGCGAGGCGCAGCTGGCCGCCCTGCACCAGTTCCAGAAGGAGGCGCACATCCTGGAGCAGAAGAAGCTGCGGATCGAGAGTAAGGCTCCCGGGACTCCCGGGCTCTGGGGACGGCACCGTGCAGGGGGTGGGGGGGTGCCGAGGGCACCGCTGCGTTTCCACGGAGCCTGGACGGCAGAGCACAGCCACGCTGGCGGAGTGTGTGACCACGGGTCGTCGCCCTGACCGCCGCCCCGGATGGCGGGTGGTTTGCAGTCACGGTGGCGGACAGATTCAGAAATGGACTGAATTGGCTAATTCGGGGCTTCAGGGCTCTGCGGCCAGAGTCGCATGCAGGGTGCCCTCCCGCTCGACGCAGGGCAGCTCCGCGGAACTCGCCAGGACGCTGCGGGTCCTGGGGCAGGTGCCTGCCCGGGGACATCAGTGACGCCTCGGGCCCCAGACTCAGGAACAGCCTCTCTTCCCCTGCAGCCGAACTTAGAAAACTGTCCCACTGTCCCCCAGTCCCGTGTCGCCCCAGCTTGTGTCTAAATCTTAGGGGTCTCCCACCTGCCAAAATCCAGAGGGAGAGGCGGGCACCTTCCTGGGCACCATCCGCTCCATGGCCACCTGCTGAGGTCCTGGTCCCTCAGCTCCTACCTGGTCTCTGACCTGGAATCAGGCAGGTCAGCCTGGCCATGCAGCCCCTCGGGGTGCCGCCCAGGGGTCAGGGCTCCCTCTGCCTGGGCACATCGCACCCCATTTCCTCCCAGTAGTCCTGCCACCTGCTTGCCTGACCCTGGGGCACCCAAACTCACCTGTTGGAGGCTAGGGTAGTTGTTTTCCGCCTCCTGCCCCCGAGCTTGGTGGCGGCGGTGTGGGGGCAGGGCCCTCTTTCCCGGACACCAGTGTCCTGGCCACCGGTGATCTACGTGGTCTCCTTCACGGTGCCCCGCCTGCCGGCCGACCACACCCCGGTCTTTCCAGGTTCTCAGAGGGCCGGGCTTTGGAAACCAAGTGGCCAGAAGGACCCCCTTCCTCTTCTCGGGCCCTGGAGGGATGTGACCAGGGCGGGGCGCCAAGAGGACAGTGGGGCAGGAGGGGAGCTGGGGAGGTGCGGCCCCTGCTCGCAGCCTCTGGGACCGGAACCCCTTGGCCCCTGCTCTCCGCCACAGAGAAGATCGACCAGGAGAAGAAGGAGCAGAAGGACATCGAGCGGCACATGAAGGACCTGGACAACGACCTGAGGAAGCTCAACATGCTGGTCGGCAAGAACCGGAGCGACTCTGAGAGCCTGCAGCAGGACAACCTGGTGACCGAGAACGAGTTCGTGCACACGCTCAAGGTCGGTGCCCGCCGTCCCCGAGGGCACGGGCTCCAGGGAGGGCCCGGCTGTGGGCACGCGTGTCCGCCAGCGCCCACGGCTCAGCTGTCCCCACCGCTGCCCGCAGGCCTCCGAGAGGGAGGCCATCGAGATGCAGGAGAAGCTGGAGCAGCTGACCGCAGAGAAGACGTCCATCATGTACCACCTGGTGGAGGCCGAGTGAGTGCCACTCGGTGCCCTGGTCCTACTGCCCCTGCCCGGCAGGGTCCCTGGGAAATAGGGCAGCTTTCCTTGGGCTGAACTTTTTTAAACTCTATTTTATGCTGCATGATTATAAGAGCAATCCTTGCAAACTCTAATAGCTTCAGGCTCTTGGTGTATCCGGGCTTTTTCCTTCTCCCCGTGTCCACTCCTGCACTTGAGTGGGATGTTCTCAGCTCCTCCTGCAGCTCACGCCCCTCCTCTGCCTCTGCCTCTGCCTCTCTGTCTCTATCTCTGCCTCTCTGTCTCTTTGTGTCTCTGTCCATCTCTGTCTCTCGGTCTCTGTCTCTGTCTTTCTGTTTGTCTCTGTCTCTCTGTCTCTGTCTCTTTGTGTCTCTGTCTCTCTTCACCTCTGTTTGTTTCTTTGTCTCTCTCTCTGTCGGTCTCTGTCTATCTCTGTCTATCTGTCTATCTCTTTGTGTCTCTCTGTGTCTCTCTGTGTCTGTCTGTCTCTGCCTCTCTGTCTCTTTGTGTCTCTGTCCATCTCTGCCTCTCGGTCTCTGTCTCTGTCTTTCTGTTTGTCTCTGTCTCTCTGTCTCTGTCTCTTTGTGTCTCTGTCTCTCTTCACCTCTGTCGGTCTCTGTCTCTCTGTTTGTTTCTTTGTCTCTCTCTCTCTCTCTGTCGGTCTCTGTCTATCTGTCTATCTCTTTGTGTCTCTCTGTCTCTGTCTCTCTGTTTCTCTCTGCGTGTCTGTCTCTGCCTCTCTGTCTCTTTGTCTGTCTCTCTCTCTTTACGTCACAGTTTTGTCTGTTTCAAAGGCGGGCAAACCCTTTCTGGAAAGAGACAGGCAGTAAATGTCTCTGGCTTTTCGAGCCTCGCGACCTGTGGGAGCCGTGGGACTCTGCCATCAGCGCGCATGCGCAGCCACCCACAGCGCCACGCGGGCGGCTGTGCCGATGCAGCGTCGCTGGTGGACGCCGGGATTGGGTTTGACATGCCTGTGCCCAGACTCGGCCTGGAGGTCGCTGTGCATTTCCCACATCGGGCACACCTCAAGTTAGCTGTGCCAGCCACAGGCGGCCAGGGCCCGTGCTGGGGCAGGGGAGGCCGAGGCAGGCGGCGGAGCAGGCTGAGACAGTGTTGTGGGCCCAGACTCCTCCTGCCACGCTCGAGCCCTCAGTCCCTAGCTAACCAGACGCCCATCTCTGCCCCAGCCGAGGCTGCCCGTCCGTGGGCTCCTCTGGGTGGTGAGTGCCGTGGAGGCCCAGCCTGTGAGCCCCACCTGTCCCCCCGCACACGGGGCGCCGTGGACGGGAGAAGCCGTGGGTGGGCCCCCTCACAGGTGGGCGCCAGCAGGCTTCCTGCCGTCTCTGCGCTTCCTCTGGGGGGCACGCGTCAGGGCGGAGAGGAAGGCAGGGCGGCAGGATGCTAAACGACCCTCCACCTCCATGGAAACCTCCGAGACTCTGGTCCCACCCGGGTCTCCAGGGTGGCACAGCCCCTTGCCCGGGGTTGGGTAGGCTGGCAGGAACTTGAGAGAGGATGTCGGGCCCAGGGGTTTAGGTGGACTTTCTGGTCCCAGAATGGGGGACATTGGTTCTTATCTGTCACACCCTGCGCTTGGGCCTGGGTATCAAAATGTGCCATCTGTCCCTTGAGGGCATCTCTTCATGGAAAAGAAGGCAGAGGGTGGCCCATAGTGACCACAGCAATGACAGAGCTCAGCCCTCATGCCATGGCCCACACTGAGCACCGCCCGCTCCTGCCCAGACCTGACCCCCATGCCCACCGTGGCTTCTCCACCCGGAGGGGTCCTCCGAGCAGGCGCTCAGGGGAGCTGCCGGGAGAAAGCGCCCCCACCCCCGGCTCTGACACGGCCTCTTCCCGCGAAGGCACCAGATCATGATTTGGGAGAAACGGATCTTGCTGGCGAAGGAGATGCGTGCCTCCGTGGACTCCAAGACGGGCCAGACGGAGATCCAGTCCATGAGGGCCGAGATCCACAGGATGAAGGTGGGGGCGCGGGGGGCCGGGCCCCGGGGAGGGCAGGGACCGCTCTCCCAGCTCAAGGGAACACGCTGCCCCCTCGCTGACCTCCGTCAGGGTCTGTCCTTCCTGCTGAGAAATAGTCACAGAGCCACACAGCCGCACACGGCATTTCCTACCTCGACCCCGGCCTCGCCCGGCGCCGGCCACGCCCGCTACTAAAGATGCTGACTGTGGCCCCAAATCTCAGGATCCCCTAATGAGGTGTATCGCCCCGTTGGACCAAAAAGAGCCCCAGGTGACAGAAGGGTCAGAGAGCAGCCCCGCCGTGCCCCGTGGCTCCCCCCAACGACTGTGCTCCGCGGCCGCCTCTCCCTGGGCCCTAAGAGGCCAGTGACTGAATCGCAAGCTGTCACTGAGCCAGAGGTCGGGGCGTTCCGGAGGCAAGAGCAGGTAATCTAAGTACAATGTGACAGCCCTGGCCGGTGTGCTCAGCGGTTAGAGCGTCAGCCCGCGAACAGAAGGGTCGCGGGTTCAATTCCCGGTCAAGGGCACATACCTGGGTTGCAGGTTCGATCCCCGGCCCCCACGTGCCGAAGGCAACCGATCGACGTGTTTTCCTCACATGGATGTTTCTCTCCCTGCCTCCCTCCCTCTCTTCCACTCTCTCTGGAAATCAATGAACAAATACCCTCAGGTGAGGATTAACAATAAATAAATGAATACATAAATAAAAGCAAAGTGAAATGTGACATCACTTTCATGAGGCTGTTTTTAATAACAACCCCTCTGGCTGCTGAGTTCAGAGGGATTCTGATCAAGGGCACAGTTGACACTTGAAAAAAAAACAAACACAATTTAAGTGACTTTTTAAACCACAGAAGCCCGGTCTGTTGCTGCAGCTGGTCCAACCCAGCTCCCTCTCCCCCTTCCCCCTCCCCCTCCCTCCCCCCTCCCTCCCTCTCCCCCTCCCCCTCCCCTCTCCCTCCCTCCCCCCTCCCCTCTCCCTCACCCCCTCCTCCTCCCCCCCTCCCCCTCCCTCTACACACACACACACACACACACACACACACACACACACGGGGACGGCCGCCCTTCTACTGGTTGGTTGTTCTCTCCTTAAAAAACAGGAATTGTACGTATGAATCAGCAACTGATTTTCATTGTTGTTAATCCTCATCCAAGGATATTTTTCCATTGAATTTTAGATAGAGTGGGAGGGAGGGAGGGAGGGAGACAGAAACATCAATGTGAGAGAAACACATTGATTGGTTGCCCCCTCCACCTGCCTCACGACCCCAACTGGGCCGGGGATCCAACTTGCAATCCAGGTACATGCCCTTGACCAGGAATCGAACCCATGACCCTTCAGTCCATGGGCGAATGCTGTAACCACTGAGCCAAACTGACCAGGACAAATCAGCCGCTGATTTTTAAAAAGCAACTCAGACATGAACAGTTACAGGATAGACTATGCTCATATCATAATTTATTGAAACAGTCCCAGGTTGATGAAAATTCAGATTGTTTCTAGTTTGTTGTTTTGCCACAATGAAACAGTGTTATGTGAATACGCTTACGGTAGGCACCCCCTGTTGCGGGGGAAGCTTTCCACCCCCCCGGTGGACGCCTGAAACCGTGGATCGTACCGGATAGTACCGAGCCTCTGGATACTGCTTTTCCCTCTACATACGAACCTTCCCTTCAGGGAAGCACCCTCTAGCTTTTCTCCGGCATATCTCACTTGTCAGAGAGAAGGGGCCATTATTATTACGTAAAATAAGGGTGACTTGACCACAGGCACTTCGTCCCAGCGGCTGGTCTGATAATCCACACAGCTGCTGAGTGACAGACGCGAGAGGCTCAGGACAAAGGGATGACTCCCATCCAGGCGGGATGGAGCGGGGTGCTGGAGGTGTCATCAGTCCACAGTCCATTTAAAACCGGGGTGGACTAGGTCTTCCTCCACCCCTCTTAACTCAGGGGTTTATCCTTTTTCACTCTAAATTAACTTTATTATTATCTTTTCCTTTATTGGTTTTTAGAGAGAGAGGAAGGAGAGGGAGAGAGAGAGAGAAACATTGATGAGCGAGAACATCGATTGGCTGCCTCCTGCAGGCCCCCCACTGGGGATCGGGCCCACAACCTGGGCATGTGTCCTGACCGGGAATCGAACTGGCGACCTCTTGGTGCAGGGTCGACGCTCAACCACTGAGCCACACCGGCCGGGCTAAATCAACTTGATTGAGGCATGGCTTACATACAATAACATGTACTTATTTATTATTATTATTTTTTTTAAATCTTCACCTAAGGATATTTTTCCATATTATCTTCAGATAGAGTGGGAGGGAAGGAGAGGGAGCGAAAGGGAGAGAGAGAGAAACATCGATGTGAGAGGGACACATCAACTGGCAGCCTCCTGCATGACCCTGACCAGGGCCAGGGACAAACTGCAACCGAGGTACATGCCCTTGGCTGAAATTGAACCCACAATTCATTGGTCCATTGGCCAACACTCCACCATGGGGACAAACCGGCCAGGACGACATGTACTTATTTTAAGCGCATGGCAAGTTTTGACACCCAATCAAGACACTTCTGCTCCTCCAGAAAGTTCCCTCATGACCCTTACTGACCTTGTCACTACACCCCAGTCCCCAGCCCAGCTCCCACAGGCCCTCCACATTACCACCCACAAACTGTGGTGTGCTTGCCCCAACTGGGAACTTAACCGGGGACGATACGATGGACCAAACCACACAGTGACTGGATCTCACCGGCGTCGGGGGGCTAATGTCCCTTCTCTGCTCTAGAGTCCAGTCCCTCTGCACGTGGCCCTCCTGTCTCCTGACCCCTGGTCTCTGACCGGCCCTCAGTGTTTCCCTGTTTGCCTTTCATTCTCTGTCCAGACCTTAAAATCATTCTGACCAGGTGACCAGGCCTCCAGATTCCTGACCTCCGGTGGCCTCACCCCGGCCACCCCCTGCCGGATCTGTCGGTGCGGCGGGCGGGCTGGCCTCCCACCAGCCCTTCTGCCTCGTGTACCCAGGTCAAGCACGGGCAGCTGCTGAAGCAACAGGAGAAGGCGATCCGAGACATGGAGCTGGCCATTGCCCACAGAGAGAGCATCTCCACCAAGGCCGAGGGGCAGAGCAAGATGGACAGGAAGGTGCTCACGCGGACAGACTTCCATCACAAGCAGATGGAGCTGCAGCGGAAGATCAGGGACCTTCACAGAGTAGGGAGCCTGCCGAGGACGGCCTGTCCACCTCTGGGGCCCACCCCTCCCCTGCACTCACGGTCGGCATGGCACTGGCCAGGGCTTTCCGAGCTGCCTCTGCCTCCAGGGAGCGGGCGGCAGCATGGGCTTAGCTGGGACCGTCCCCCCCATCACCCGGCTCCCAGCTCCCGAGGGGCAGGGCCCATCTTTGTCCCCTCTGGGAATCCTCCCAAACTGTGTGCACAGCAGGCTCAGCAGGGCCCGACGCCCCTCTGTCCGCCGGCTAGCCAGGCTCAGGGCCCCAGGCTGACCCCCTCTGTCCCCTAGGCCACCGAGGGGTACAGCAACAGCATCCGGGAGCTGGAAGAAACCCAGAAATGCTTGAGCGACTCCCTCCTGGAGAAGCGGACACAGCTCTCCACCATGCAGAGCCACACCGAGGAGCTCGAAGCCAACCTGGAGCAGCTCACGGCCCTCAAGCGACAGGTAGACAGGCCGAGGGCCACCTGGGCCACGACAACCCGGGTGCGGGGTCCGCCCTCGCATCGGGGTTCCCGTGGGCCACGCACGGGTCCCGGAGCCAGAGCCACGAGTGGAACAGAACGGACAGCAGCCTGCCCCTCTCGAGGCCGCGCTCCGGGGCAGGAGGGCAGTAACAAACAGTCCGGGAGAAGTGGTTCCGCGGGAGATGCTCTGGAGAAAGTAAACAGAGAAGCAGCGCGGTGGGGGCCCACTTGGGAGGGAGTCGGAGAAACTGACGTCCGAGTCAGACTTGAAGGAGGCAAGGGAGCGAGCCTCCCAGGCCGAGGGACAGTGGGGAAAGCTAGAGCAGAGACTGCGCCAGGGCCCCCAGAGGCCCGCAGGCTGGACTGCAGGGCAGAGAGGGCTCCCTGGGGAACCACAGTCACGACCTCGGGCTTTTCTCTCAGGGAGGCGGGCAGACGTCGGAGGGGTCTGGGGCCGTGGGTGACGGGTGAGCAGGGTGATTGGCTCCGAGGTTGAGTGAGGAATGGAAGGTGGACACAGGACGCCTGTGTGAGGCCACTGAAGTTCATGTGGAGGACAGGGGTGCAGGGACAGGGCCGTGGCCTGCAGTGGGCTGGTGGCAGCCGTCTGATCCTGCAGAGGATTTCAGAGCCGCCCCCGGGGGACCTCCTTCAAGACCGGACGTGGTGTGAGCAGAGCGAGTACCCCCAGTTCCAGGAGGTCTGGCAGGACTGAGGGGTTTGGGCCTGGTCAGCAGAGACAGGGAGAGAACAGATGGGAGCGTCCCACGCCGAGCCCGGCACGTGGCCCGGCACCTGCCTCTTAGCCGATGGAGGAAGGCTCCACCCAGCCTCATCCCCTCCGTGTGGGGACTCAGTGCCTCCAGCCGACCCCTTCCTGCACAGCCCTGTTCTTTGTCATTTCCTGAGTCTGGTTTGTAGGGGGACCGGTGGGTGTCCTCTTTTAATGTGCACAGCCTGACACGGGGCCTCTTATCCCACCCAAGAAAGTCTCCGAGCTGGTGGCCCTGCAGACACGCGCCAAGCACCTACAAGCGGTGAAGGACGGCAGGTACGTGTTCCTGTTCCGCTCTAAGCAGTCGCGGCTGGAGGAGCGCAGGCGTCTGAATGACCGGCTGGCCACCATCAGCACCATCCTGGACCACGTGAACGACCAGTACCCCCAGTTCCAGGAGGCCCTGCTGCAGCTCCGACAGACCATCGCCAACCAGCTGGACTCTCCCGGGCCCTCGTAGAGAGCAGCCCGGCCCGCGCCTTCCTGGGCCGGCACCCCGGGCAAGAGACCAGGGTTCTGTGTATCACCTGGGACTTAGGATCTTTTTGTGTCACCGAAAGCCATGTCTACCCTCAGAGAATGACCCCGATTAAGCGAAATAAATAGGCCAGCACTGTCGGAAATTTTTCTAGCCACCCACCCTTCTAAAGCAAGTCAAACCCCAATGTTCCTGGTCACAGTCAGGCAAGCCTCCAGTGTGCAGGGGCAGAGCCTGTGACCGCAAACCCCATTCCCGAGCAAAGCCTGGGTCTGTTCCTGCAGGTCAAGGGGGCTGAGCTTCCTCCTCACTGCGGGCTGGTCCCCTGTAAGTCTTGTGGGTGAGCAGAGAAGGGGCCCCCTGGAAAGCAGCAGTGTGGTGGCCCTCGGCCCCGCCCTCTGCTAAGGCCATCTGAAAAGGCACACCCTCTTCTCATCAGCGGCCTGCTCACTCTCACCCCCCAGAAAAGTCCGGCCCCTGCTCCTGCCCCCACGCCCCGCCTGGGTTAAGTTCAGCTGCTCAGCTCCAGGGATAAAGTGCAGGAGCAGTGACCCCACACGGAGACCTAACAACTGAAATAAGACGGCGCCCGAGGGAGCACAGTTAGACCTAGCCCGCCCACCCTCCTCACTGTCTCGGGAGCCTCCTCCTCCACCCTCCTCCTGAGCACCTGTTCCCGTGGCTTCTCTGCAGTGTAAAGGGAAACTATCCACAACATAATTTCACTTTCAAACCTGTCAACAGAAAAATAAATATTTTTCCGAATATGGAGAAAGGCTTATTGATCCTAACACGTTTGAGAAACGCGAAAGCCAAACAGAATCGGGGAGGCGCGCAGCCCCTCCACCCCCAGGCGCCCCCCCCACGCCCGGCAGGTCCTTCCCGCGAGTCCCGGGTGGGCGCCCCGCGGGCAAGACCGCCTCGTGCGCGCTCGTCCACACACGGGCGCTTCCCACGGTACGAGACATCCTTGCAAAGCTAACGTGGTCACGACGGTCAGCTTCACGCGTGACGACAGTGTTGTCCGCTACGCAATACGGTTAAGTTACTTGAAGCGGCTCTGACGTCGCTCCCTCTGCCTTTTGGGTGCTGAACACCTGCGCCCGCCTTTTAGGCTAGATTGGCAGGAGCGGGGCCCTGGAGCAGCCCGGCAGCTCCCAGGAAGCCTGACAGCCGCTGGCATGTGCTACGGGTGGGTGTCGCCCCCTCCCCGACCCCGAAGGGCAAGGTCGCGGCGTCAGAGCGCCGCTCCGGGGAGCTGCGGTCCACCGCAAGGGGCGCGCCCCAACCCCCACATCGCAGGTGCGCAGCGGGAGGGTCAGGATACGGCATGTGGCCCGGCTCGCCCCTCCACCAGGGGGCGCACGGCCAGAGAAGCGCATCCTAACCCAGGGCGCCTGCGCGTTGGCGGTCACGTGGTCCGCTCCCTCCTTGACCGCGACCGCCAGCACCTGACCCTGGATCGCAGCTGCGGGCCCGGCGCGCGTGCGCAAAGGTGTGCGGGACTGGCGCTGAGCGCGCGTGCGCAGAGGTGAGTGGTCCGGGAGCGTGCGCGCGTGCGCGGAGGTGAGCGGGCAGCGGCTAGCGGGCCGGGGCTGGTGTGCGGGCCCCGCGCGGTCCGCTGCAAGCCGGAGGCTTGGCGGGTCGGGGCACTCGTGACGCCCGAGAGCGGGAGGGATCGATGGGTCGATTGACCGGCCGGTCGTCAGTGATTTCCTATTGGAGAAGCTGGGCACGTCGAGCCGGGGTCCGCGCGCGGCGGGGCAGCAGTAACGTGGGGACCCCAGGACGTGGGGACCCCGGACACTGCTCGGTCCTCATTCAGCCCGCAGTGCCGGGCCAGGAGGGAAACTGAGGCACAGCCCCTCGCTTCCCGCTGCAGGGGCGGAGCTGAGCTGAGGCCGGAGCCGCGTCCCTGCAGGCGGTGACCTGCAAGCGGCCACTGGAGGGCGGTGCCCCCGGCCCGACCTCCCGCTCCTCCCCTTGCTCTCAGCGGCACCCCACCCCCACGGCCTCCCGTCTGGGCCTCTTCCCAGGCCGTAGCTTGGAAACCGCGAGGGGTGGGCTGGTCCCGCCTGTGCCCAGCGCCCCGTGCCCAGCACCCCGTGCCCAGCACCCCTGTGCCCAGCACCCCGTGCCCAGCACCCCGCCGTTTCTGCACTCTGGGTGGGCAGGGGTGGGCACCTAGAGCTCCCCACCGGGACCCTGCTCTGCGCTCTGAGTTCCCTAGTTTCTGAGTCCTCGCATCTCAAGGTGTCACATGTGTCTGAGAGGGTCAGGTGGAGCTGGGACACTGATAGAAAAATAAGTATTTAGTCGTTGTTCCCCAGTCCTGAACCCCTGGCATCTTGGGAGTGAGGAGTGTGTTTTATATGATAATGAGATGATGCACGGCATTGCTCGGGGCCGGTCTCCAGAAAGACAAGCAAGACTCAGGGTGGGAACTTGCACCCCCAACATCTGGGGAGCTGAGAGGGGCTGGTGATTGATCACCAATGCCAGTGATCTAATCAATCAAGCCTACATAATGAAATCCTAAACTTCTTGGGGTTTGGAGACCGTCCAAGCTGGTGAACATATTTTGATGCAGGGAGGGTGGCAGGCTCTCAGAGGGCGTGGAAACCCGGCGCCCCTTCCCCCTTCCCTCACCACCTTGTGGTTCCTGGTTGTATCATTTATTACAAACCCGAGTTCTGTGGCTCGTTCTGGCCAGTGTTGAACCTGAGGAGGCGGGGAGTTGTGGAACCTCAAAGTCCTCGCTGGTTGGTTAGAAGTGTGGTGCTGACCCTGGACTTAGGACGGTGAGCGCGGGGTGGTCTTGTAGGACCGAGCCCTTAACCTGTGGGGTGTGTGCTAAGTCCGGGAGCTGGCGTCAGAATGGACTGGAATTGACCCTGCTTGGCGGCTGCTCCCTCAAGTCCACCACTGTCCTGAGACCAGGGTGCTTCTGGCCCATGATGCGTAACTAGAGCAAGCTGCTTCCGGAGCCCCGGAATCCCTGATGGCCAGCTTTGGCTTCAGGACCCTCTCCAACCGCGTGGCCTGGCTGAACCTTCCTCCGCCTGCAGGCAGTCTGGGGCGCTGACCCAGCCACCATGCCGCCCTCCCGTGGGCTCAGACTCCCGTGGGGTGTAATGGCTCTCCCAGCCTCCAGCACCTCCCCCTTTGCTCTTAGGAAGGACCCCCTAATAGGATCCCTGCGTCCTTCCACGTGTCTGCTCCCTGGAGGAGCCAGACCAACAGTGTTCCTTATAAAACGCTCAGGACACACAGACAAGCGAAATGAAGCTAACAGCAGCCTTACGTCCCGAGTAACCAGAGCGAGGCTCAATGCGGCTGCTGCAGCAAAGACAGACCCAGGACCACCGAGGCTCCCCCAGCCGAGCCCGCTTCCCCCCAACCTGACCTCTGGGCTGGCGCGGCTCTGAGGGGCTCTGGTCTTCCGCTCCTGGGGTCCAGGCCTCTCCTGTGGCTTTGCCACCCCTGAGTGTTGCCCTGGGCCACAGTGCTGCCCAGGCTGTATCCCGTACAAGTCAGCAGGAGGCGGCAGAGGGCAGGGGCGGGTACCGCTGAGCGCACCCCCACTCCCGCCCCACTGGTCACAACTTAACCTCCGTCTCTGCAGAAGCAGGCTCACACTGCTGTGGAACCTGCTTGTCACCATCATGTGGGCTTTGAGTCATTACATCATTGTTACAGACCTTCTACCTGCATTTCATTTGTAACACTTCACAGCATCTCCAAACCCGTTTTCTCTCCTTTCCCTGTGTCCCCTCCCCATGTCTGTCCGACTGGTACTGGGTGAGCCTCACCTGCCCACCTCCTGGGCAGACCTCACCCCACCCTGGGCACAGCCGGCCGCACGAGGTCACGCCTGGAAGCTGCTTAGAGTCCCCGAGGCCCCGGCTGCTCCCCGTTAAGCCTGGTTCCTCTCTTCACAGGCCTCAGGACCCGTCCCCCAGGAACTGACACCATGGGCTTGAGGAGGCCGTCCTGCCCCCGACCCCTGCTGGCGGTCTGCGCCCTCCTCTCCTTGGTCACCGCTGCCCTCCTGGGGCATGTCCTGCTCAACAGTTTGACGCTGGTCCCCCAAGAGCTGCACGGCTTCTTCCAAGCACCCGAGGAGATGTTCCGCGCTCCCCAGCAGGGAGCCAGCAGCCTGCGGCCCCAGGCCCACGCGAGAGCTGCACCCACACAGTGCGACGTGCCCCCCAACCGCCGCTTCGACTGCGCCCCAGACAAGGCCATCACCCGGGAGCAGTGTGAGGCCCGGGGCTGCTGCTACGCGCCTGTGGGGCGCCCCCGGGGCTCCCAGATGGGGCCTCCCTGGTGCTTCTTCCCACCCAGCTACCCCAGCTACAAGCTGGGGAACCTGACCACCACGGACACGGGCTACACCGCCAGCCTGACCCGCGCCGCCCCAACCTTCTTCCCCAAGGACATCATGACCTTGCGGCTGGACGTGCTGGTGGAGACCGAGAGCCGACTGCACTTCACGGTGGGCAGGCTGCAGGGCCGGGCACACGCCGAGATGGGGCGGAGTGTGAGGACAGGGCAAACACGGGCTCGGTGGGGTCTCGGCTTATTGCGCAAAGGTGTCTTGGGCCCTCGCGGAGAGTCCTGGTGTGAGCTGATAGTGACCAGGAGGTCCTAGAACTTGTCCTAGAGGGTAAAGTGATGTCTCACCCAGGACCTGCGGCCAGCAGACGGGACGGTGGTGAGGGAGGAAGGGGGGACATTCCAGGCAGGGGGTGGTGGGGTCCCAGCAGCCGGCTCTGTCCCCAAGGCAGGGCCTTTTGTCTGCGCTCTCCCAGCCGCCGGAACGCAGGCGGGCACAGAGCAGCTGCCCTGTGAGGCCCTGCGGACAGTAGTGCACAGGCAGCCGGCCCTGCTCTTCGCTCCTTAACCGTGTCATTGCTCAGTGGTTACTGTGCACCAGCCCCGGGCAGGGCTCTGGTTCCGTTTCTCGTCCGCCGTGTGCCAGGTGTGCCCGGTTGGACAGTGTTACCAGATTGAGCAAACAGAAGTGCCCGGTGCCTAGTGACCTTGAGCCAGACAACCCAGGGCTGAGTTTATGCTTTCGGTGCAGACGCCCTGCGCTGAGACACACTAAAATGTGTTTCTCTGAAGCTCGATTCACTGGGTTCTGTCGTCAACCTGGCAACCACAGCAGGTGTGCCCACAGGGAAACCGAGCGCAGGGAGGCGACCGAACGGACCCCTCGTGCCCCGGCGGCTGCAGGACGGAGTGGGCAGGTGTGGGGATGGTCGCCGGCCCAGCAACAGCCTCATGACACCGCCGCTCTCATCCAGATCAAAGATCCCGCCAACAGGCGCTACGAGGTGCCCTTGGAGACCCCGCGAGTGCACAGCCGGGCGCCATCCACGCTCTACAGTGTGGACTTCTCCCAGGATCCTTTCGGGGTGGTGGTGCGGCGGAAGCTGGACGGCCGGGTGCTGTGAGTGCTGACCCCGGGTGGGACGGCAGGGAGTTGGGACGGCACTGTTCCTGACCTGTCCTGGCCCACTGTCCCCTTGCTGGGAGCTCAGCACCACAACTGCTAAGTCAGGAGGGGTTGGGGGCTGCCTTCCCCAGCTCCCGCCTGCAGCCAGGGCACATGGAGCCCGCCCGCCCGGGGTGGCGTGGGCACACCAGGCAGCATCCTCTCCCCAGCGTGCTAGGGCGCTCTCCACACCGCGTCCGGTACCCCAGGCTGGCGGGCCTCACATGCTGCTGCTGTCTGGTCAGCGTGTCCAGAGCCGGCCAGGCCGCTCCGGCCCCCTCGGCACACCGGGGCCTGGGGTCCCTCCGGGAGGGCCCAGGTCAGGTTTGTTGGCGAGGCGGCCTGGTCTCCTCCCCACAGGCTGGACACCACGGTGGCGCCCCTGTTCTTTGCTGACCAGTTTCTGCAGCTGTCCACCTCCCTGCCGTCCCAGTACATCACTGGCCTCGCTGAGCACCTCGGCCCCCTCCTGCTCAACACCAACTGGACCAAGATCACCCTCTGGAACCGGGACATTGCGCCCACGGTACAGGGGTGGCCGGGGTGGGGCCCGAACTGGAGGAGCCGCACGGGCAAGGGGCCAAGCGCTGTGTCCTCTGCTCCCCAGCCCGGCGTGAACCTGTACGGGTCCCACCCCTTCTACCTGGTGCTGGAGGATGGGGGCTTGGCTCACGGGGTCTTCCTGCTAAACAGCAACGCCCTGGGTAAGCCAGCGGCCAGGTCCGCCCCCCACCCCCCAGTCAGAGCTCCCAGGCCAGGGGCCGCCCTGGGCGTGGCCAGATACCCTCCTGTGTGGGCGGAGCGGGGCCTCTGCACCTGCCTCCCCAGCTGGGGGACAGGAGACAGGCTGCGGACAGGGTCAGGCCTCTGCTCTCCTGGGAAATGACGTGGGCTGTGGCCTCTCCAGCTCCGCCCTCGGCTTGGGGCAGGGGCCCGAGAGGGGAGCCCTGAGGTCCAGTCGCTCAGCCTCTTCCTGCCCTGCTCCAGGGTCCGCAAGTCCTCAGGGTCCCCTGTCCCTACGCAGGCTGTTCCCGGGCTCCCTGTGGGAGGACCCCCTTCACCAGAGGTAGTTTGGCCCGTCCCTCTGTGAGGTGCCAAGGGCCCTGGGGGCAGGCGGGTCTCTGTCCCTGAGCCCCAGGTCTGCCCCCCACAGATGTGGTCCTGCAGCCAAGCCCGGCCCTCAGCTGGAGGTCGACCGGTGGGATCCTGGACGTGTATGTCTTCCTGGGCCCGGAGCCCAAGAGTGTGGTCCAGCAGTACCTGGACGTCGTCGGTAGGCCTGCCCCCCCCTTCCCGTCCACTCCCTCTCGCCCCCCGCCCCTCACCCAGCCACCTCCCTGTCGCACAGGCCGCCCGTTCATGCCGCCATACTGGGGCCTGGGCTTCCACCTCTGCCGCTGGGGCTACTCCTCCACCGCCGTCACCCGCCAGGTGGTGGAGAAGATGACCAGGGCCGGCTTTCCCCTGGTGAGTGCGGGGGTCCCGGGCCGCGGGGGGGGGCGCAGGGCTCGCCCGCGCAGGCCAGGGCCCACCGCCCGGGTGCCACGCTGCAGGACGTCCAGTGGAACGACCTGGACTACATGGACGCCAGGCGGGACTTCACCTTCAACAAGGACGGCTTCGGGGACTTCCCGGCCATGGTGCGGGACCTCCACCAGGGCGGCCGGCGGTACGTGATGATCGTGGTGAGTGCCCCTCCCGCCAGCGTGCGGCTGACCGGCCTGGTGGCCCGACTCCCGTTGGCACCCTCCCCGTGCCCGCCGTGGGCACCGAGGCTGCTTTCTGAGCGTCCTAGACGTGGAAGGATCTCAGGTTTGCGGACGTGGCCCCTGCTGCCCAGTGGTGTCCAGCATACGGGTCTCTGCCTGCTGCTCAGGACCCTTTCGGTTCTAGGCTATTTGACTGGCTCGGAGCAAGGGGGGGACGCTCCGCTGACATCGCCCAGCACCGGAAGGGCCAGGTGGAGCAGTGTGCAGGGGCTCGCGTGTCTCCTGGCCCCCGTGCCCAGGTCGGCTCTGTCTCAGGAAGGCGGCAGGGCTGGGTGGCCCAGCACGAAAATACACCCTCCCTGGGCCTGTCCCCAAAGCCAGACGGATGTGATTCGGGGGCCCAGCCTGTGGCTGGAGGAGGCGGAGGGGAGGGGTAACCCCAGGGAGAGGAAATCCGGTTGGCGTCGTGCCGGTCATCGGTCACCGGTCACCGGTCACCGGTCGCCTCCTCGCGGCCCCTCCGCGGCTGCTGGCGTCAGTGGCCGCTCAGAGCAGGGAGGCAGACGCAGACCTTTGTTTAGTCTGGAAGAAAGAAATGCTCACTATGCGACGTTTGTGCAACCCTGAAGCCCCCAGAGCAGAGGTGAGGCCCGCGCCCAGGTGCACCCAGGTGGCGCCCCGAGGCCGGCGTGCGTGTCCGGGACCCGCACACACGAGGGCCTCAGCCTGCGGTGTCTCGGTGACATCCTGTGTCCCCTTCCCGGCCCTGGCGCCAAGGTTTGGGGCGTTTCCTTCGCCCACGGGTCTCTCGCTCCCAGGATCCTGCCATCAGCAGCTCCGGCCCCCCCGGGAGCTACCGACCCTACGATGAGGGGCTGCGGAGGGGGGTGTTCATCACCAACGAGACCGGGCAGCCCCTGATCGGGAAGGTAGAGTGGGGGCGGGGCCGAGGGGCGGTCCTGGCCAGTGGATAGAGCGGGGTGACGGTGGCCTCCTTCCAGCTGGGGTCACTGGGCTTCTCCCCTCTGGCCTCTCACCCAGGTGTGGCCAGGGCCCACTGCCTTCCCCGACTTCACCAACCCCGAGGCCCTGGACTGGTGGCAGGACATGGTGGCCGAGTTCCACGCCCAGGTGCCCTTTGACGGCATGTGGATTGTGAGTGTGCCCCCGCCCTGGGTGTCCCTGAGCCTGGGGCGCCGGCCCCGCCCTTGCGCCCACCTCTAGGGCCTCTCTGCAGGACATGAACGAGCCGTCCAACTTCGTGAAGGGCTCGGTGGACGGCTGCCCGGACAGCGACCTGGAGAACCCGCCCTACGTACCAGGTGAGCTCCCACCTGCCGCCCGCACCAGCTACGGATGGGAGGGCCTCTGGTCTGGGACCCCTGAGGAGTCAACGGCTGCAGCCAGCCAAGAGGGGGGGCCCAGGAGTGAGGGTCAGGTGTGGGAGACGCCAGCTCTGCCGTGTGGCCCCAGCCGTGCAGCTGAGGTGAGACCCCGTGAGGGCGGGCCTGTCGGGCTCAGGAAGACGGACAGAGACTTAAGGTGGGTCAAGGGCAGGTGCCGTGAGTCTGGGTCCGCGAAGGGCAGCCTTCGGCATCACCTTGTCCCTGCCCTCGGAAAGCGGGGCCTGCGTGAGACGCCCCAGGTTCCGAGGGTGCTCCGGGAGGTAGGGGCACAGGCCGCTGGGCGGAGGCGGCGGAAACAGCCTCGCTCTCCCCAGGGGTGGTCGGCGGGACCCTCCGGGCAGCCACCATCTGCGCCTCCAGCCGTCAGTTCCTGTCCACCCACTACGACCTGCACAACATGTACGGCCTGACCGAGGCCTTGGCCTCCCACAGGTGAGGCTGCGTGAGCGGTGGGGGTGCAGGGAGGTAGGGAGCCCAGGCCGCCCCCGGGCCAGCTGGCGGCCAGCACCTCAGAGCCAGGAGGAGCTTGTCCCCCCTGTGACGTGTGTCGAGAGAAGCTGGAGGCCCGGCAGCTGACTGCCCAGCAGCGTCGGCAGTGGCCTGGCCTTGCCTCCCCCACCCGCCCCGCTTGGTCCCTGCTACATGCCGGGCACGCCGGGGGCCGTGACCCGCTCCACACAGCGCTGTCCCCCACTCCGCCCAGGGCCCTGGTGAAGGCTCGGGGGACACGCCCCTTTGTCATCTCCCGCTCGACCTTCGCCGGCCACGGCCAGTACGCCGGCCACTGGACTGGGGACGTGTGGAGCAGCTGGGAGCAGCTGTCCTCGTCGGTGCCAGGTGACAGCGCCGTCGGGAGCAGTGGGCCCCCGGGAGGCGCATCAGAGCGGGGTGCTGGGCTCGGCACGGCTCGGGCACACGGGCACCGGCGCACCTGTGCAGCTGGCGCACCTGTGGCCTCCTCTTCTCGTTGTCCTCATCCCCACGTGGCCTGGCAGGCGGCAGATTCTCCCACAGTGTCCCTTCTGGCCTCACAGTCTGCCAGCGCCGCCTGCCCCGCCGGTCTCGGTGCCCGCTTCCCCCTCCCCCCGCAAAGGGCAGCGTAGCTCTTGTTCCGATGCCACTGGTGGCCAGGAGCCCGGGGCGGTCGGGAGGAGGGCGTGCCGGGTCACCGGGGCAGCTCGGAGCCTCCGACACCGGGCGGAAGCGCTTCGACCTGGAAGGCCTGCTTCTGAGTGGGGTGCAGGTGCAGAACTTGGGGCGCAGGGGCGTCCTGCCCAGCTGAGCTGTGGGGAGAGAGTGCCTCCCTCCTTCAGAGGCTGGCTCTGCCCACAGGTGCCCCTGGTTCTGATTTGCCCCTGGGGCAGGTGTGGTGGGGGTGGGGGCGCCCAGCACCCGCAGGCCAGTCTCTCAAGCCGCCTCGGGGTCCAGGTCCTGGCTTGGCGTCCTGCTCCAGTTCCGGGGTTTTAGTTCTGCTGTGAGCTGCTGGTCACCAGGCAGAGGTCATGCCGCTCCGGGGTGGCACCGGTGACAACCAGACGAGTCCCCAGGGCCCTGGGCCGTGAGCAGTGGCGGGCGCCAGGCTGAGCCCACCCGGACCCTGGCTCCTCGCAGCGCAGGGGCTCACTGACCCCTCCGCTCTCACCAGGTGCCACACACTGGGGAGCCCAAAGCCACAGGCAGTCCTGCACAGTCGGGGGCCTGATCACGGTGTGGGCGGGGCCAGGCCACGCCCCCGGGCCCCTGGTAGAGTCCCTCCTGCCTCTCCGCACAGCAGCCCACGGTGCTGGGCCTGGGGCTGCACCCCTCGGACCTCTGTCATCTTACGGCTTCCCCCCGTGTGTCTTTATTTTCTTGTAAGGTCACCAGGCGTATCGGATTAGGGCCTAATGACCTCATCTTAATGGGGTCACACCTGCAAAGACCCTATTTCCCAGTAAGGTCCCGTTCACAGGTCTGGGGGTTAGGACTGGAATGTTCTATTTTTGGAGGACGCCCTTCAACCCTGACGGGCTAGTGTGCTCCCGGCCCCCGCCCAGGTGTTAGGGAGCACACGGCAGGTACAGGTTGTCCCCCTGCCAACCCCGATGGACCGTGCCGAGGCCGGCGAGGGCCTGGCCGGGGTGTGGGAGGGCTGTGGCCTCAGGCCCTGTCTGCCCTGCAGAAACCCTGCTGTTCAACCTGCTGGGGGTGCCCCTGGTGGGGGCCGACGTCTGCGGCTTCTTGGGCAACACGACGGAGGAGCTGTGTGTGCGCTGGACCCAGCTGGGGGCCTTCTACCCCTTCATGCGGAACCACAACGACCTGCACAGCCTGGTAGGTGGGGGCGGGTCTCCGTCCGGGGTCCGGTCCTGACAGGCCCGGCACAGCCCGCCCAGAGGAGCAGGGGACCAGGGCGGCCCCTGGGGCCAGGACCGGTGCTTCCTCCGCCCTGTCTCCGCCACAGCCTCAGGAGCCCTACAGGTTCAGCGAGCAGGCTCAGCGAGCCATGAGGACGGCCCTGGGCCTGCGCTACGCCCTGCTGCCCCACCTCTACACGCTGTTCCTCCGCGCCCACGCCAGGGGCGACACCGTGGCCCGGCCCCTCTTTCTGGAGTGAGTGCCCGGGGCAGGACGGGGTCCCTCGGTGCCCCTGGGGGGGACAGCCCGGCAGCTGAGTGAGCCGAGGCCAAAACCTGGGCCTACCGGGCACCCCCGCACCCCTCCCACGCACCCCAGGTCGCACCCCGTAGATGCCAGCTCGGGAGACCTGGGATGAAGGGCAGAGCAGGGACCCGGCCCCCAGTGGGAACTGGTTATACGACCATAGTGACTGAACGTCCTCGGGGCTGGTCCAGGGAAAGGGCCCGACGGGCTGCGCCCCCGCGGGGACAGGCTGCGCCCTAGATGGCAGCTCATGTTGGAGGGGAGGTCACCAGTCACCCCTGGGAAACGCAGGCTGCTTTCCCCTCGCCTGAGGCTGAAGTTCCCGGTGGGGTAACCAGGTAAATGTCGACAGTGAGCTGCAGGACAGGAACCGCTGTGGGCGGCTTCCAGGCGCAGCAGAGAGGAACGAGGGTTAACTTGGGGAAATGGCACCTGTCTGCACAGAAACTGAACCGCTGAGCGGCTCTAAGCACATGGCAAAGGCCGCCGGAGTGGGAGGCGTCACCAATGACACGGCAGAGGCCCCTCCCCCGGGCGTCCAGGGCTCAGACAGCACTGAGGACAGACAGACAGCAGCAAGGACAGCTTGCAGAACAGGCGGCGTGGGTGGCCCCCCGCCTGGCGCCTCACTGTGCTGACCAGGCAGGGCGGCTAGAGGGAGACCTGCCGCATTCCCCCGGGTCCTGGCTCCTGGGGCCCCTGCTGCTTCCCTGCTGGCCTCGTGGGTGCACTGACTTCAGGTGCCCCGCCCCTGTTCCTCCTGAGCAGGTTCCCCGAGGACCCCCGCACCTGGACCGTGGACCGCCAGCTGCTGTGGGGGGAGGCTCTGCTCATCACGCCGGTGCTCGAGGCCGGGAAGGTGGAAGTAACCGGCTACTTCCCCTCTGGCACGTGGTACGACCTGCAGGCGGTGAGTCCGGGCCCTCTCCCCGAGGACTGGGGACAAAGGGGTCTCTCCTCCTGTCCCATCCGTGTGGGCTCGCCTGGGTGCTCCCCGGCGTCATCCCACGTGATCTTTGCAGGAACCCATTTTCCAGATGAGCAAACCGAGGCCCCAGCTGTAACTTTCTGGGGTCCTGCGGGCTTCCCTGCCACAGGTGGAGCAGGACCCCTCTTTTTTTGCTCCCAACATCCTGCCCGTCCCAATGCCCTCTGACCTGCCCCACCCAGACCCGGGCTTCGGGCCCCTCATGTTCCCACTAAGTGGCCAGGTCTCTGTCCCTGAGGTCACACCGGCTTGTGTCTGCCTGGCCTCCTGGGCCTCCGTGTGCAGCCCTTGGCTCCTGCTGACAGCACTGGGCCTCGCCACTGCCCAGGACCCTTGGTGACGCGCTGTCCCCGTCCAGGTCCCAGTAGCGGCGCTCGGCAGCCTCCCGTCTCCACCTCCGGCACCCGTCCGGTCTGCCATCCACAGTGAGGGGCAGTGGGTGTCGCTGCCAGCGCCACTGGACACCATCAACGTCCACCTCCGGGCTGGACACATCATCCCCCTGCAGGTACCTGGGCCGGACACTGGGGCCATTGGTCTGGGACCCACATTGCTGTGTCCCGCGGGGCGTCCAGCCTCAGGTCCCGGGCAGAGGGGCCGTGTCTGGGTGGGGGGTGAGCGGGCCCGGCACGGAGGCTCTGGATACAGGTGCAGTGACCCGTGGCTGGCGTGGGGCATGGGGCTGCTCCGTCGCCTGTCCCAGGAGGCAGCCGGTCTGCAAACATCTGTGAGCCTCTCGTCCTCCGGGCTCCATTCGGACAGGCCGGCCGCCACGGGGGTCCGGGCCCCTGGGCTGCAAGCTGTCGCAGACGCGGGTTTCCTGGGCGCGGGTCTGTCCTCGCGTCCTTCCCGCCCCAGGTCTGGGGGCTCCGCCAGGTGTGCAGCAGTGACGTGTGCACTTTCCAGGGCCCCGCCCTCACGACCGCGGAGTCCCGCAAGCAGCCCATGGCGCTGGCTGTGGCCCTGACCCCGCGCGGGGAGGCCCGAGGCGAGCTCTTCTGGGACGACGGGGAGAGCCTGGGGGTGCTGGAGCGCGGGGCCTACACGCAGGTCGTCTTTCAGGCCAGGAATGTGAGTCCTGACCTGCCAGTCCCGGCGGTGACTGCCCTGGTCTGGGGAGGGAGCCCGGCCTGGGGTCCCGGGATAGCCACCTGTCCCCTGGAGGGTCAGCCCAAGTGCCCCCTGGCTGGAGTCCTGAGTGTTCTGCTAGCACGGGCCGGGGTGCCCGCCTGCCCTCCCCTGTGTGTCCAGGGCCCCATCCTGGGGGCTTCCTGCCTGGGCCATCTGCTCATGCCCGGCTGTGTCTCTGCGGGGCCAGAACACCATTGTGAACCAGCTGGTGCACGTGAGCGGTGAGGGGGCTGGCCTGCAGCTGCGGAAGGTGACGGTCCTGGGAGTGGCCTCGGCCCCCCAGCAGGTCCTCTCCAACGGCGTCCCTGTCCTCGACTTCACATACAGCCCTGACACCCAGGCAAGAGCCGCAGACCAAGCCAGAGGGCTTGTCCCCCGGGAGGGGGAGGGGCAGGAGGCACCTAGGATCCTGGGGCGCTGTCCGCCGAGCTGGCATCATGGGACATGCTGTCTGGAAGCCATGGACACTCAAGCCTCCTGGGGGGGCGGACTGGATCCTTGTGGGGTGGGAAGGATCGGCCCCTCACGCTGTCGCCTTCTGGTGCCGGCGTCTGCCCTGACGGCCACGTGTTCGGGGCCTGATGAAGCACATGAGCTTTGTCAGCGGGGGAGGGACCGAGAGAAGCCTCTCAGGCCGCCGCCGCCCGCCCGTGTCCAGGCTCTCGTCTGCCCAGCGTCGGGGTCTCTCCTCTGCCGGTGATGGCCTGGTGGCCAGTGGTTCTTTCTCGTTCCCAGACCCTGGACATCCCTGTCTCGCTGACCATGGGACAGCAGTTCCTCATCAGCTGGTCTTAGCCGAGGCCAGTGGCGTGTGGGGCCTGGAGCTCACCCTTCGAGGGGCCTGACGTCCCTCCAGCACCCAGATCGGCTCACTGTCTACCTCCCGGGCTGGGCTCTGGGCCAGCCCCTCTGCCCGGCTCTCCGCCCTGAGGGTGGCCTGGGTTGGACGTTTCACTGAAGGCTCGCTCCCCATAGCCCACCCCTGCCTGGCACGCGCGTAGCATCAGTTGCCAGCTGCCTGCAGGTGACGTGAAGGTGGTGCGTGGGGCGCTGAGGCACCTGGGCCCCGACGGCAGGATGGAGCTGGGTGGCCGCCGCAGACTGCTTTCTGGGGAACTCGGGAGAATTCACAGGACTGGGGAAACCTTCCCTTTTAAGTGCAATTATTTGTAATAAAAGGGCATCTGTAGTCAAGTCTCTGCGGGTCCCTGTAGCGTCCAGGGTACGGAGGGTGTGCCCGAGGGCCTGACATGGAGGTACACACTCCATCCCCCACGGGCCCCTGGACACTCCTGATTGGTGGTGGGTGAGGGGCTGAACGAACTGTGCAGCCTCAAAGCAGTGCCCTCACACCCTCCCCTCGCCACACCTCCCAGTATCCCGTCTTTACTGTGACGGGGAGCTGTGTGGACAGGGTCTACCCCCACACCCTTGTCCCCAGGCAGCCACTGGTCTGCTTTTGGCCAAGATCGGAATTCATGTTCTCCAGAACCTCATCTCAGTGGAATCCTACAGCATGTGTTTTTGTCTCACTAACGTTACTCAGCGTAATGACTGCGATTCATCCATGTGTACGAACACCCTGTCCTTTTTCATTGCCGAGTAATCTTCCACCGTGCGGATGTGCCGACTTTTCATGGATGTCAGCGTTGTTTTCGATGTTCGGCTGTTACAATGAGCAGTCGTGGTGAGGCTTTGAGAATGAACATGTTTCATTTCTCTCGGGCAAATACCAAGGCGATGTGGTCAGGTCACAAGTATGGGTGTCGGGTTCATATTTTTTAAATCTGCCAAACTTCTTTCCACTGTGGTTGCTCCATTTTGCACGCTGCCCGGCAGGGAGAATTGCAGGCCCTCCACCTGTCACCAGCACTTGTATCACCATGTCTCCGGCCTCAGCCTCCTGGTGAGCGTGGGGCTTGCTGCGGTCCCCATCCGCCTGTCCCAGGTGACATGGACTTAGCTGCCACCCATCATTGTGGGTGAAGTGTCTGTTCAGCTCTTTTGCCCACTTACTACTCGTTTATAAAATAGGTTGGTTTCCTGTAGCTGCTGTAACCACCACCACCAACTCAGTAGATTGAAGTCACATTTATTTTATCTCAGTTCTGTGGGTCAGAAGTTTGACAGGGTCTCACCGGGCTGACTTGGGCAGCTGCCCCCCTTCCTGGAAGCTCAGGCGTGTGCGGGCTGAGGTCTGGGTCCCCTGCCGCCGGTCTGCTAGCCGTCCGCGGCTTCTCCAGGCGGCCCCCACCCTGGCCCGTGGCCCTCCGTCTTCACACACCGCGAGTCCGCCTCCTCACCCGCGGCTCTCCTGCCTCCTCCGTCGCTAACCCGCTGCCAGGAATGGCCTTGACTTGTTAAAGACTCAGGCGATCAGATTGGGCCCACCTGGATAGTCCAGGACACTCTCATCCCGAAATGCCTCGTCACGTCGGCCAGTGCATCATGCCATTTAATGTGACCTGTTCGTGGGTTCTGGGGATCAGGACGGGACATCTGTGGGCATCACCTGCTCCGGCAAAGATTTACCTATTCGGGCTGTAAGTCAGGTATCTGCTTTGCAAGTGTCTTCTCCAAGCCCGTGGTTTGCCCTTTCGCTTTCATAACAATGTCTTTTGAGGAATGAAAAATCTTCATTTTAATCAGCCCCACTTACACTTTCACACCCTTTTAAAGAAATCTTTGCCAGATTCAAAGTCACTAAGACGTTCCGCCTGTTTCCGCCTGGAGACGCTTTAGGTCGTACGTGTCCGGCTCGGTTTGCATGTTGCGAAGTAACAGCTGGCCGAGGTTCTCGTGCACGTGGCTACAAGGGTTCCGGCCCTTTGTAAAAACCGTGCTGTCCCCGTTGAACTGCCTCGGGACTCATTCTGCACACGCCTGGGTCTGTCACGTGTTCCAGGGACCCACAGGGCTGTGCTCCTGCCGGGCCACCCCGTCTTCGGTGATATTTCTTGATATGTAGTGAAAGTCATCTGACTTTGCCCACTTTTTCTTTTTCTTTTTTAATCCTCACCCGAGGATATCCTTCTGTTTATCTTCAGGTACAGAGAGAAACATCGACGTGAGAGGGACACATCGACTGGTTGCTTCCTGCATGACCCCGACCAAGGCCAGGGACGAACCGCAACTGAGGTTCGTGCCCTTGACCGGAATCGAACCTGCGACTCACTGGTCTGCGGGCCGATGCTCTACCGCTGAGCCACACCGGCCAGGGCTTGTCCACTTCACCTTCTCGCAGCCGGTTGTTTTACTATGCTAGGTCCTTTGTATTTCCAGATTTCAGAAACACCTTGTCAACCGCCCCAGTAGTCTCTTGGTGTTTTGTAGGACTGTCAAATCTGTAGGTCAGCTTGGGGAGACCTGTCACCTTCCGAACGACTCCGAGCCCCTGGGACAGGCTCCCCCTTCTCATCTCTAACAGCGATGTTGGTGGCTTGGGGGTGCGGCTCTCACACATTTTGTCAAATGTAGCCCCAAGCTACATATTTGATATTTCCCATATTTGATGCTGTGGTAAATGGGGTTCTTTACATTTCCCTAATTTATTTTTTAATCCTCACCTGAGGATATTTCTCTATCTTCAGGTAGAGAGAAAGGGAGGGAGAGAAACATCGATGTGAGAGGGACACATCGACTGGCTGCCTCCCACCGCCTGGTCATGACCCTGACCGGGGCCGGGGATGAACTGCAACCAAGGTACAAGCCCTTGACTGGAATCAAACCTGAGACTCTTTGGTCTGCAGGCCGACGCTCTACCACTGAGCCAAACTGGCCAGGGCAAAATAGTGTGTGTGTGTGTGCGCGTGTATTTATTTTCATTTATCTTCAGATAGAGAGGGAGCTGGGGGTGGGGAGAGAAACATGGATGTGAGAGACACATCAACCGGCTGCCTCTCGCACAACCCCGACCAGGGCCGAGGACCGAACCGTAACCGAGTTGCATGCCCTTCACCGGAATCAAACCCGCGACTCATTGGTCCTCGGGCCGACACTCTAACCATTGAGCCAAATGGCCAGGGCTCAAGTTTCCTGTTCTAATGCTATTGCTCATGTGGGGGTACAAGTTCGGACGCCGACGTGGCCGACCGCCACCTCCCTGCCTTCTACCTCTTTCCTCGCCTTCCCGCACTGCCGGCCCGAACCCGGGGACGCCTGGTGGGAGTGAGGGGGACCTGGGCTCGGACCGTAACCGACAGGCCCATTTCTCGTGCTGCTCATGCTCCGGGGTCTCCTGTTCTGAAGCTGGTACATGCCCAGATGTTGATTCACGTCGTTTTGATAACTTCACCAGCCTCTGCCGGCTGGTGGTCGTCCCTGAAGGTTGTCCCCTGCCCACACGGCTGCTCCGGGGCCACGCTGGTCAGGGTGGTGCTGCAGGGGCTGTCCCTCTCTTCACTTGAATCTTAACTGCCTGTTTACAGGGTGGGCCAAGTGGGCTGCAGTGCTAAGTACAGTGTATTCTCCTGTTATCATTACTGACTGCATATTTTCCCTGCGAACTACAACCCCACTTTTGCTCCACTCCGGAATGTCTTGCTTTAGCTTCGGCCTTTGACTTCCTGGGGTTTCTACTGGGGGTTTTATCCCGCCACCTACCTCAGTGTCCAGGTGTCCGCACATCCTACCGGGATCCCGTTTACTCTGAGGTCAGCTAACAGCCTCTGTCCTGACTGGTAATCTGGGTCTGTTTTTCCCTTGGTCAGCCTCTCTCAAAACGTGTCGACCGCTGATCTTTTCAAACAATTGGCACTGGGGTTGATTTCTTCCCACGGTCTCACGGACGTCTTCTTGCAGGCCTCCTGCCGCGTGGGTCGCGCGCTCTTGTCTGAAGGTGGCCGTCGACAGCGGAGGTGATGACAGGCGGTTATTCTGAACCCACCGTCTGGCTGTTTCTGGGTCTCTCTCACCAGCTCTTTCTGAGGAAGTGTTCTTTGGGGTTCCTTTTGTCCCGTGTTCGCGGTGTTGCTTTCCTACTGGCTTCTCGGGGGTTCACACCCCAGTCCTGTGTCCCGCACCTTGGACGATCCCCCACCTTCAGTGGCGCACACGTCACACCCGGGCTGGGGCCTGGGCGCCTGCCGCCGACTGAGCTTCTGTGGTCCTGCCTCCGAGTAGGTCAGTGTTCGTCTCCACAGCCCGAGCACTTGTGCTCCGAGGACCACAGGGCCCTTGCTTGTGTGACCTTGAAGACAAGCAAGGTCACAGGGTGCCCTGGCAGAGCTGTTCCCCTGCACAGCAGGTGATTTTCATGACTATTTTTCTGTTTTATGAATTTTCCTCTAATGAACACGTAGTTTTATACCCAAGGAATGATGTTTCTAGAAGTACGATAAGTCAGCTGAAAGCGGAGGACCTCCTGACCCCCATCCTGTGCAGGGCCGACGGCGGGACAGAAAGACGCTGCCCCGGCAGGCTGCTGTCCGCAAAGCCCTCCCCGTGTCCCCTGCTGGCGGTCAGGGCGACGTGGCTGAGCCTCCACGGCCACACCGTCTCTCGATCGCCAGCGAGGCCGAACACTCGCAGGCCTTCCCCATTCTGGCCGAGGCCTTTCCCCCACGGAGAGTCCAGCCTCTCAGCCCCCCTCCTCCCTTGCCCCGTCCTGGCGATGCCCCCGCCACGCGTGCCTCCACCGCGACTGCGCTCAGTGCGCCCAGAGCCCAGAGCCCCCGCCCCGGGAACGAGACCGGGCAGCGGGCACGCGGCTCCCTCGCTCCACCACTGCCAGCGCCACCCTGAACTCACTGCATCTGGGACCCCGTAACCCCCGGGAAGGGAATTCACGGAGGAAATTCCTGCCAGAAACTACGCAAATCCAGGTCCCAACCTGCCCATGGCCGTCCCGGCGGTGCGGGGGGAGCCCACCCCCACACGAGCGCTCGGCCGGGCCGCAGCCCACGCGCAGCTGGCGGACCCCAGGGACGGAAACGAGCTCGCGGGCAGAGTTCTGAATGTTTAATGAAAAAGACGAGAGCAAAGCTGTATTTACACATGGGTAAGAAAGACAGCAGGACCCTGGCGTGTCCTGGTGGCCACGAGAGCACGAACAACCCCTTCAACAGAGACCGTCCCCGAACAGTCCCGCGGGGGCAAGAGCAGCCCCATTCATCCTCGGCGCGGCAGACTCCTCAG